ATTCAGTAACACATGATCCAAACAATTTGATCATTAGTTTTATCGATAGATCTGACTCACATTCTACTATTCACTTCTAATTAATGCTTATTAATAGTTTCGTTGAACGAGTTCATATTCACTTTGAAAAGGGTGAAAAATCTGTTGAAAATTGCTAAATCACACAGTTTAAATGATGAATTTTCAGGTATCTTATTTTTTGTATTATAAGGAAGTAAAGAAAATGTTTTAGCTAACACAGATCACCATTTGTATCATACCAACAATCATCATTAACTAAGTATTGTTAGACCACCATTAGAAACCTGGCAGCACTGGACGGACGTTTCGTCCTGGTATGGGACCCATCAGCAGTGTGCATCCACGACTCCTGCACCTCGCAGGATTCGAACCCAGGACCTTCGGTATTGTGCGCGAACGCCTAACCATCGGCATCCAACGGTGTTGATGTCTAACTCTGATTGATCTACGGATTTTGCGCGACCTCAACCATTTGTCTTTGGTAGTTAGTGCCTACACCCGACAAGGTTGAACTCCATTGGTCACGTCTTCTGAACTCGATTTCCGAGAATTTCCTCACAAATCTAGTCACCCGTGAGCACTGTTAAGATATTTTCGGGCAGAGTTTTGTAAAAACACAAACCTCCAAAACTCTGGCCGAAAATTAACTGAGTAGTCACAGTTTTCACAGGCAATTATGAACATTCCTCTTTAAACCAGCATCAGATTAATTTTAAGTGATAATCAAGTTAGTATGAAACTTTATTTCGGAAAACAATACTATTTATTCAACGATATCTTGATATGTTATCAATATTAAATACCTACATGAACATACTCAATCGATTAACTTACCTTTAGACATAAACTCAATTCTTGAAAGGAATAAAAATGGAAAAACAACTAGTGTTGCCAAATTCATTTTCATGATGTCTTATCGTGGAAATATAACAATATTATGTTTTTTTTTGCTTTCAACTGAATAGTTCAAAGCTAATTTTTGTCAGTTATTGCGCTGAATTGGATAATCAAGAATAAAACATACATTTTCCTATATTTGCGCGGTTTGAATATATCAAAAAATGGTTCATCTTACTAATAAAAAAATGGATATACCCCATTTATTATGAAATCGAACACTGAAGAAAAGAAAACCACATGATGGGTTCTCTTTTTATACATATAATGAACGGAAAAAGTCTATCCTTAAATTCTAAGTCATTATTTTTGATAACTGAGACTGAAAATTTCTCTGTATCTGATTGTAAGTGAATTGGATCGATTTTTGCTTCGAAGATGAGGTCAGATGAGTTCAAATTTATTGACTTGACTAATCTAGTTAGGAAAACATAAGATGAAGTGATTAACCAAAGCAAATGAAATATTCTTTAGTTTTTATTAAAGTTCTATTGAGATGTACAATATACATTGAATTATAAAATAAAAAAAAGCAAAACTTTAATATTTATGTAAATTTTATCTTTATGAACTACATACGCAGAGTGATGTAATTAAGTTGATTTTATACCCACTCCCTGTTGTTTAGTTGAAGATCTTTTAAACGAAAGACATTTAATTTACTCAGTGTTGATGAAACATATAAAAATGTGCTTCGACATTTAACCTCGGAAGAAAATTGTTCATGCTTAGTGTTGGGATAGCCATCGAGAAGCCACCCACGCACATAGTCGATTGACGAATTTATCGAACTTATCAGTGTCAGTCGATCGATGAAGTTATCGGTTAAATGTTTAAAAACTTTCATGGCAATATCGATTGTATATATAATTGTATAAATACGCGTGTTTTCTTGTATATTTTTTGATTCCGTCAACAAGTGCTCTCTAACGTCTTTCGTCTTTTTATTTTACAATGGTTTAGAGGTTCTAACGTTCGGGTGCCGTCATATATACAGTGATTTTGGCTTTACTGAATGAGATAAGCTAACACTTAGTTTGTAAATTTTAACAATACCGGTTATTTGTGAAATCTGTTCAGTTTAATACTTTTTATTCAGGACTGACTTCATCAGATCATCACGAAAAGCATGAGGTATCAGATATAGTTTAGTTCTCGTATACATTAGTGCACGCACATGAATCAGCTATGGACCTAACAGGCTGGAATTTAAAGACATACCTAATTCCTGATATAGTCCAAGTAATTATTCTACACAACTAGTGTGTAACCAATTAACTCATACTATCGTTAGGCTTGAACAATGGAGATTCATCACAGCTTTGAAAACCTGTTAAGTATACTATCAGAATATTCCATAACTTCGCCGTATTTCTGGAAATATTTTAGAAACTTTAACACAGACATTTCAGTTATACTGTTATGAACAGTCCATGAATAATGCCCAACAATGTGACTCAAGGTCACATTCTTTTCAACATTAAAGGATAGTCTTTTAAAACATTGGTTAAATCATAAGCTAGATAACCATTTAATCGTGTTTTGTTAAAATTTACCAATTAACAATAAACATAAATTACTTAAATCAGAGAATATCAAAATAAACGATAGTTTACTAAACACAGTCGAAAACATTTAAAGCATAACCTGACGTTTGGGCGAAATAAGACAGTTTTATGTTCGCTAAAGAGCAAATTATTTTTCATTACCGTAATGTAAATGGGATTTTATAAAATTTTATTACATTTTCTGAAATGGATTTATATTGATAACTAAATGTGAAATCACAGCTGCATAATAATTTACTCTGAAACTGTGATCCTTTATAGCTACGTAAAATTTACTCCAAATTTATACCCCACAAAGAATTTTATTCTTCTATATCTCGTTTGCATTCAGTTAAGTTGCTTGTCAATTTGAATAGATTTTATTTTAGTTTAATACGGACTATCTTGTCAGTGCACTAAAATGACTAATATTTTGATGATTTCAGTGTGAAAGATAGTTTTGTTCACAGTGAAAAAGCTGTCAAGTTTCATTTATTGATTAGTTCTTATGACAGGTCGTCAGACAGTATATATATATATATGGTAAAGAATGAATCTAAACATTTTCTCTTCCATTGATCTCGAAGGTCAAGAATTATCATCACATATTGTTGAATATCATTAGTATTAGCTTTTTGTTACTTACGAAACACGGGCATCAAGCAAACCCACTTACTATAAATTATACTGCATATAAACTTATCAATGATAAAAAGTACTTTGATTTATGAGTCTGACAGTTTGACATAATTACCGACGCTTTAAAAGTAACTAGTTGCTTCATATTTAACACGAACAAATAGTGCGAAAACTAGTCACTGTTTGACTTTTCTTTTGCTTAGAATTATTATTTACCCGTGAAAGGTATTACAGAAATTTATTTTAAATTTGTCCATGATTTTCGATAGTATCAAAAAATGTGTTTTATATGGACTTTTCATGAACGTAAAGCAAAAGGTTGTACTTTCATACATACATAATGTAATTTATGGTGATAAAACGTTCAGGATCTGTAGTGTGCTAGTACAATTTTGATTAACTTGACGTTTAGGTACAGCAGATTCATGCCCCTAACTTCTAGACATACTTTAAATGTTAGAAGAAATCATACTTCCCAGTTGTTTAAAATAAATCTGATTAGGCAGATTTCAAACCTACATTTTCTTGGTTGTAAACTAAGCATTTTAATAACTGACTGACCGTTCCATTCATTAATGCCTCTTCGTTTGCTTATAAATCTTGAGCCTTCGTCTATTAAACAGTGAACTAATACACTACTAAGTGTTACCAAAGATAACATCGATTACAAATGATAATTATATTGTGGGGATGGAAACGTTTGTAGAAAAGTTATTTTGATTAAGTAAATAGCATAAAAAGAGAGGCAAAATATAAACTAAGATTTCATTGGATAACTACTTTCTAAATCTAATTATCAGTATTTTGTTCTATTCTGAATTGAATAACTCATCTAATGAGTTTTCTAGTAATGTCGGAATTTTTATGTTGCTTTGAAGTTATGTTTCATCATGTCAGAATTAAATTAAATCTAATCATGTAGGAGAACTTGAAACTATATTTAGAAATCTCATTTCTAAGCATTATTAAGTGTTAAGCCAAAGCTTTTTTGTAGCCGTCAATATTCACTGTATCAGTTTCCGATTTTACAACTGAATATAAAACTGCTGTACTGCTTTTGCTGAATGATAACAATATTAAAATTGGTTTACCATAAATACTATCCATTCAATAAATAAATGGACATTTGTAATTTTCTTTTTGGTTTATTAATACACACAATAAAACGAGCTTTGAATTCTCATATGCTAAGGTTAACAAGCATAGAAGTGGCTTTATGATTTGTATGTGACAGCCGTTGAGGAACAGTGAAATGTTTACGGCTGTTAACTAATCTAAAATATGAGCCACCTGATGCATGCATGCATGCATGCACGGACCATACATACTCTAAATAATAAAAATCCTTTCTATTATTTCGCTTTAGTACAGATCAAGGACAAAACAATCTGCCTTAGTTTGTATGAATCTCTGCTCGTTTACACTTAATGGTCTATTAATCGTACAAACATCAGACTTCATAGATATCCAATGCAAAGAGGTACGGTTATAACAATGTAATTCTAATAAGTAATAGATTTTAATAATGACAAAAAAACTCTCATTCGGCTTTCATGTCGTAGAACCGGCACTTCAACTCATTTGAACTTAACGTAAATATTTTGTTATTAATTTACTTAAAGTAGACAATTTTATTACCTTCCCATTTAAGGGTTGTAATAAGTTACTTTGAAGCAAACTGTAAAATCAATAGATGTAGGGTTTCATTCAGATTACGGTGAATATGTTTTATAAAGCATAAGTAAACAGTTATCTGCAACCAAAACTGGGGCGTTTCTTGATTAAGTATTTGTTATTATTCATTTGATTGGCTAATACTATTAACCAATAAAAATTGGATTACTAAATGATTTATAGTTAAGCATATTTCAAATTCATTTTACAATTTCTAGTATACTAAATCATTAATACACATTTGAAGCAAAATTAAACGGAATTCTTACTGACCTTCAAAATGGTTTTAAGTACTAGTTAGATCAAAGCATGCAAATAGTGTTTTGCAGTGACAATGAACAAAAGCCATTCGAGGACGTCATGGGAAAACGAAGTAAGTGATAATTTTAAATCTAATTCATTTGATGAAAATATTCGATTTCTTCAGTATAATTATGCATTTCGAAACTATAAGAATAATCATTATAATTTAACTTATTATTTATCTTTAAAGGATAATAGACAAATTGAGTTGCCTGACTCGTGATAACTGTTTGTACATTTAGTAAATTGAACTGAACTTCTAGAGTAGTAGTATTTCAAGACCATATAGAACAAGAATATTATTGGTTTTAGGAATTTTCTAAAATTAAGAAAGAAATTTAATAAAATTTAATCTTAATTTTCATTCAAGAGATTTCCACAAGTTCCCAGTTATCTTACTGCAGTTATCTATTTTAATAACAAATTAGACAATTTATAAATGTATTTAGCTATATCACAGTTTGATCAATTTTATCGTTATCGAATACTGAATGTACTTGAAAGACAAACCTAAACTTGTGAAAATCGATAAATATCGATCAAATGATTGTAAGTACATTTTGAATAAACTTGTGATCAAATGAACAGGCAATAATTCGTATCTAGTGGATAATATTATGTACAACAGATATGATAAAAGTATTATTTGATTGTTTATTGAAACACTTCAATTAATGCTGTTTTATCATAGAATAGTCATACTGACTTTCTATCACGTTAGGAGTAGTTACTTTAACTTTGGGATACGCCTTAGTAGATTAGTCGGCAAGTAACTTTCGAAATACAATGCAATGTCCACTGGGTGATGCCGGCTTCACGAATCGTATAAATAAACAAATAAATATTTATTCGGGTACTCCAGATGATGTCGGTCTATTACAACTGAGACTTAAAAATGATAGATAATTCTCCACAAACATTTTCAACTGAACTATAATCATGTGATTACCATTAGATGGCCGCTAGGAGAATTTATGATACTTCAATGAAAATCTGTCAAGGGTAGCGTTCAGGGTTTTACGTAGAGAAACTCATCATTGAGCGTAGTGGAGCGAACATTATGCTGACTTGGAAGGCATTTATTGAAGTAAAATTGAGTTATTAATATAGAGTTCAAATAAAGCATAAGGACGGAATGAGATAGTAATTAAATGCAGTCCAAAAGTTAGGAAAAGTTTAGAGAAAGTTTTAGATCAGTTAGCCATAATTAGTAATCGAAAGGTCATTTAATAAGTCAGCTAGATTCCGAGGGATTTAGGGGAATTTTCGAGAAATGAATGAATAAAAAATAATTTTCGAGTGCATGAAATAAGAATTAATTTAGCAACGATTTCGAAACAAAATAAACGTTGATGAAAGTAACAATGACAAGGGATAAAAATTTTAAAAATTAACAAAGTAGCGAAGAGTTGATCATTGTCTCTGTTTAGACGCATAAATCAGGCTCATGATTATTGATTGCTGCTGATTCTTCAAACAGAAGAAACGCTACATTTTTTGTCTGATGATCATCTTGAAGGATTGGGAAATGTAAAAGATGTGTCCTGTATCAATTAAATGTTCAGCTATTGCACTATTTAGAGTCTTTGTACCTCTCAGTGTCAAATCCCTAGGAAGGTGCTCAGAAATTCCACCATGTATGCTTTTCTGTATGCTTCCAGTGCATGTGGTATGGCACGTACATATAAATTGGTGTACACCATTTGAGGTACTTAAGAAATAAGACTTGTCGATTTTTATTTATTTAAGTGGACAGTTCATTTTACATAAATTCAGAAGTCGTATTGCTGGATAAGCTTTCTTCAACGTGAGATATATTTCATCTCCTTTGAAGCTCAGATAAAAAAGCAAGTTTTCTTTTCCACTGTATCATATTCGACATTTGAGTTGGTTTTGGCATACTTTCAATAAATTCCAATGGACATGCATTTTCATGTAGACAGGTTGTAGTGAACATAAAATTCATCTTTCAAGCTTTCATTAGAGCAAAGTTTACGAGGACAACTGGAAGAAGTTCGTAAATTCCCTTTTTTATTACTGATTGGACAGAAGCTGTTAGAGTTTAGATAAACTCTCTTTTTTGGTCGCGCTCGCAAACTTTGCAGCAGCTAAAAAACGATGAAATATAATACATTCATATTATTCTGCCACAGTTGTTGGTCTGGCTTTATTCAAATTCTTACAGGGAACAAATTCTATGAAACTTACCATAAATCTTTTACTCTGTTAGATGTTAATCATCATTACAAAAAACATATCATCTGTTAATAGATGATAAATTGATTGAATCCTGTCCAGAATCACAGATTAGCAGTATTTAAATTAAATCATGAATCTAAAAATATTTTATTTTCAATTGATCTATTAAGGTAACATGGCTTTGTTTACTTCACCATCGTTACTAACTATGTTGCTAACTACTTTTTTTCTCAATACCAAGATTACAAATACTAATAACTTTATGTTGTGATATTATCTAGCGATTTCAGTTACTGAAATATGGTTTGACTGTCTAACATCAGAATCTCTTATTCAGTTACGATATCGTCTAACATGATCTTTTTTCTTTACGTTTGAAAATGCTAAAATTAAATGACGATTGTCTTCAAGCAATTTAAATTGTAATCAATCAACCATAGATATTTACGTGTTCATATTCATAATAACATAACACAACATGCATACATATTCATCTACACAGACAAAAATCTTATCAGTTGTGTCTGTTAAGCTTTATTTCATTTATTTCTTAAATAAATGTCGAATATTCGAAAGATAAAAATAATATAGTGAATATTATGTTTATATGAGAATTTTATTCAGTACAAAAAAAACCTAATATATTGGATAAATCAGTTTATTAAGACTGTCATTATAAACATAAGCATCGATGTTCTTTTAAATTGTGAAATATTACTTGAGGTTGAAACAAAAACCATAAAAAACTCCTTTAAAATAATAAAAACACAAATAGACATCGCATAATCCCACTCGAACAAACGAAATTCAACAATTAGGTGCAATTTAAGTATCATTTAACGAAGCAGTTCATCATTTAGAAAGTGTTGAAATGCATTCTTAATGGGCTTATGACAAATTATGATAAGTAGGAGCGGAAAATGTCGGAAAAGAGAAAGTTTCATCCATATCATCAGATAGAGACCGGATCGCAACATTACGGATCATTGTGGAACAATCAAATGAATGGAACTTACCACTCCATGCCAACTTCATCGACTACGAGAAAGCACTTGGTGGTGTGTACGGGACAACACTGTGGAGGCTTCTTCGGCACTACGGGCCTGCCTGAGAAGATGGTCAACATCATATGGAATTCTTATCATAAATTAAACTGTAAAATCGTGCACGATGAACAGCTGACAGACTCGTTCGAGGTGAAGACCGGTGTCAGGCGAGGTTGTTTACTCTCACCCTTTCTTTTTCTCCTGATGATCGACCGAATTATGAAGACGTCAACATCTGGAGTAAAAAACTGGATACACTAGACAACCAGGATGGAGGAGGACGTAAATTCCTTCACATATCTGGGCAGTATCACTGAAAATCAAGATGGATCTGATGTCAATGTGAAGGTGCAGATCACGAAAGCAAGGACAGCATTTCTACAATTGATCAACGTATGGTACTCAAAATAACTATCAGCAAACACCTGAGGCAAAACTTTCATTACAAATGTCAGGACAGTTCTACTGCATGGGACGGAAACTTGGAAAACTACCGAAGCAATCATCCAGAAGATGCAAGTGTTTATTAACAGTTGTTTACGCAAAATAGATAGAGAGCATGCAAAAGTGACTGTCAATGAGGATATAATTTTGAACCAGTGGATTCTGATTTAGAGTCTTTTGAAAATATGACATGTTTATCAGATGTAATTTTTTTAGTTCCATTTAGAATGGGAGCGTAGATATGCACAACAACGATGAAAATGCTTTCCAGGTCTATATAGCTTTCATTTAATATCTTCAGGAAATTCATATTGATTAGTGATTACCAATCAAGGAGAACATTCAGTATTAAAATACATATGTACATTAAAGTACTGTTAATTGACACTGTCCTAAATACATGGATAAGAAAATAAGAATAGAGTTGTCGTCAGACATTATTTCCTATTAATTATGAAATTTAAAATCGCTGTCTGTTTATTTTAATTGGTCAAGTGCAAAACACATTAAATGTTTCGCAATGTGAGGGTAATTAAGCAACTAGAAAAAAAACATTTATAACATCAATTAACTTAAAATTTTGTAGTTTTATTGAAATCATTAAAACATTTTTTTCGAAGACAGCTGGGTTAATTGTTATGCTGGTATATATATCTTTTTTTAACACTGAGCTATGATGTCTGTAAGTTGGAAGATGCCGAGTACCTTGTACAAGTAATTACTTTTATTTTGGACGCTAGCTTTAAAACAATCATTGCTATCATAGATTATTGATACGGGTTAAAAAAATACTGTTACGTTTTTTATGATATTATCGATTTACAATTATAAATAATAGAATGATGTTTAGTTTTACTATTGATGTGAATATTATTGTAGCATTTTGTACTGGAGAATATCGACAAGACTTAAAGATCAATATGACAGTAATATACTGACTGAGAAAAGGCTTTGAATAATAATCTTACGTTTATCCGAAAAATATGTATTCTCGCATCAATATCGACTATTCGTTGTTCCTAAATCGGTATGAGTGGATAGAAATCCAACTTATTTATCGATCGATATTATCAAGAAAAAAATATACAGAACACAATTTATTCTGCAAACAAAAAAACAACTGGAAATAATTTTGATTGAAACTCAAAATAAAATTCTATGAACTTTTTTCCTAATTTTTTTGGGGGGAATATTATATGGCATAAATTTATAATTAAGCCACTTTCCTCGATAAATCTGCTTCAACAATATCTGAAATTATTTTTTTCTGTGGTTTTCTGTGGATTCATTTAATGATAGGTTATATTATTTAACCGGATGAAACAATAACACAAAAGTGTAATTTATTCAAGATTTACTTTTTTAAATGATTCAAAATATGTGGAAATGCATTTTGTTTCTCCTCATTTATTATTTGTTTATAATTCTATTGAGTAACACATCGCATATTGTGAATGTTTATGGCAGTTAATAAAATTTTTTAGTTACATCTCACAAGTAGGAGTAATTGGAATCTTCACTAGTAGAGTATGATAGATAGTAAAACATCAATTGACTTAACCTAACCTCTTTTTGACATTAAAGCACACGAAAAAACTTCTGAATTCTATAAATTGCAATATGAAAATAACTGATCATTAGAATCTTTTTGATGAAATGAAATGTTTATATATATATTCTCCGAGTAACGGTTGATTGAACTACTCAAACTAAATATATATTACATTTTATCTTTTCATCAGTTCAACTTAATATGTTACAATATAACAGTCTACTTTTTAGAAAAATATAGTAACCGATTACTAAAGATATGACACAGTTTCAAGTGTCTACTATTAGAGAAATAATTTTCTTCCTTTATTCGAACTTATATACTACTTTGTAAAAAATTCATTTCACGTTAATGTTTGTTAATACATATCACGGTAGATTATGTACATCAAGTGGCTTTAGTAAAATCCTACTCTTTTGATATTATACTTTAGTGGACAAGTTAAATCAACAATACAATGTTTACTATTTAGATATGCATCAGTGTGAATCCACCGGAGAATTAATACTTATATTCATCAATTCATACAGCAACATCGAGTGAAACTTTAGAATAATGTTAGAGAGCCACATTTTCATGGTCAATATTTTATGACTATATTCATGAACTAATTCATTCTTTATTTTGAAGTTTATTGAATGAAAGCTAAAACAACACATATTCAGCGAACAATATTGTTGTTTTCGATTAGATTGTCATCAGGCTCCACTCTCTAATATACATGAATATTTATATGAAAATGTTAAATTAATCGAGACAGTTTGAGTCATAATCACAATGAAATGAAATAGATTACGTCACTACACACATAATAGGCAAAAGTACAAGTTGATAACTAACAATATAACCTAATCTAATCAAGTTGACATAAATAGAGCAGTTTTCGGACAAGAGATCTTTTGCTTGAAAGCTGATTGGTTCACTCTCTGGGCAAGCAATTCATTCAGATAGCACATTTGGAAAAAATGTAAACTTCCATTTAAACATAAAGTACAATTGGTTTTCTCCAGTAGATTTGTAAAACTAAGTACAAATACTTTCTTTCTCACAGATAACATTTAATTAGTTAAAGCCTAGAAATCCAAAAAAAAATATTTGAGATAAGGATTGAATCTATTCTTCTATTGAGAAATCTTTTTCTAATCACTGTATGAATTCAAAAAAAAACATGTTTAAGGTAGATATATACAAGCGAAAGTCTTATTATCATATATGATTTTTCATTCATCAGGTAACTATCTATAGTTGATAGACGATGTCCTGATAATTTAATTAATTCTTCATTCTAGTAAAAAATGAACTGTCCAAACAAATTAAGTAAATCATTAAATTTACTTCCCTATTTTTTAACTTAACAAAAAAGAACACTTTTTTTCTGATTGATGCATTTTATTTTATGTTTAAACCTATGAATGATGATAATATCATACCAAAAAACTAATTTCATGATTGGAAAGAATGAAAGAAACAAGGTCAAGTTTATTTAACATTGAGGAATCGACATTCGGGAAAAAAAATATCAAGTTTCTTTAAATAATTACACTAGTGTTGTTATCATTTTTATTATTATTGCTGTTGAAGCTTTGTCAACGTTGTCAGTAAACAAAATGCATGAATGACTGAACTTTTTTAGGCAATAGATTAGAAAATTAGGAGCAAGCCATTTTCTTTAATTACATACACTTTGAGCAAAAGACTCAAGTATTGAATTGTAACACTGAATAACTTGTGTGTGTGTGTTTGTATGAAAAAACAGTCTTGAATAATTTCATTATTAATTCATGATATCCTCGTCAATTGATATGCCTGAAACTATGACGAGTTCATCTTACTCGGTAAACAAGAGCGAAGACAAATTATTCAATGACACGATAGGCTATTCTGATACGTTGTCTCCGGCCCGACTAACCATATCAAGAAGTCTTGATAAGGAGTAGAATGTATATTATTCGAGCGCCCAGAAATACAAGATCGACAAGCACACGAATCGAACTCATTTATATATCATTGAAACGTCCTTGGCAGAGCCACAAAAATCGCATACTAAAAGCATCCATCAGTCAATAACAGTCAAGGATTTTCCGAGTGAGAAATGTAAGCTGAAGGTCAACTAAGCACTTTATGCGCGAAAACGTAAAACATCCAAAATCAGGTCCTTTTCCATGTTCGTTCTGGGGATCTAATGTCCCCGACAATCCGGTTCTGAATTATTCTACCACTGTTTATTATTTTGTGAACGTACTAGTTTATATCAGGCTTATTGGGCCTGAATCAAGAAAAAGTACACACGTCAAAGTAATACATTCCTTTTAAGGCATATTATTTTCCAGATTGATTTATCAATCGGAATGATTAAATTCCGAGCTGAATGAAAATATCCACATTAAATGGTCTAATAGTATTGTAGAAACCTGTTATTTAGCATATGAAACACTATGAGGGTTGTTCTATGATTTATTCACATCTTAACAAGACAACATAATGAATACTCTTCATAACTTTTAGTGGATCTTACTTGAAACAAAATTATATTTCTAATATTCTGAGCTAGTGAAAGCAAAATGAAGCCACCATATCACTCGGTAGTTTACTCCAAGATCCTTAAGAACAACAATAATCGAAAATCAATAATACCTAATATAAATTCAACAATAAACTATTGAGAAGGTATCTGTTCAAAGTTAGACACATGTATATGTAGTGTTGTAGTGAATTCAATTAACAAAATGTATGCTGTATTTAAAAAAATGTTAATGTTATTTATTTACACATAAAATAATTAATTCACTTATATTGATTCTTTAGATCTTCCATTGATGTTTTAGACTGTGATTGATCAGTCTTTTTGTATATGTGTTTCCTGTGTGCATTGCCTCAATATTACTCTTAGATTTCGATCATTATTAGCAGAGATGGATGGTGGTTAGTAATATGTCAAGGACTCGCGTTTCGTTCCATTTGGCACTCTTCAACTGGATGCACTCATATCTCCGTGTTGATGTTCACTCTTGGACTTGAACTCGGGGCCATACTCTTACACGCCACTGTGTTATCCGCTGCAGATTCAAGCTTCATATTGCAGATCAGCTAGGGGATGTGGGCACATCCAGTTAACAAGTCTTAAATGAGATGGAACGCGAGTCCTGGACCAGATATCTAGCCACCATCTACCTCTGTTAAATGATAAAATGTTCTAGATCTTTACCTAGTAGATAAGTAAATAGAGGTGCCGAGTAATTCGTTAGCTTGCGGCTAAGTCGAATAAATTAGATTTTAGTGACTTTATTGGAAATCTACTGGAACTTTATACTAACAGTGTAATTCAGAAAATCATTTCCAATCTTCATTACCGATTAGCATTTGTGTTTCAGTTAAACAATTTTCTAACCAAAAGGATATAAATTGCAATCTACATCCTTTGGTTAGATTACTATTTACGTAATTTATGTAAAAAGATAGAGGTATTTATCGCTTTAAATTAATAATATTATTAATACTAATAAAGAGAGTATGAAATGCAAAACCACAGTCATACAGGTGTTCATAAGTTTAAATTATTGGAAACTGTACTGTTTTAATGTCTAAAAATAAAATCTGTGTTTCTACTAGCATATACGATGTTTAACTTTTACTTTTCAATAAGTTTATTTGGAATCTATGAAGTAAAGTTTACTGATTGTAACTACTTAAAATACATATGTCACTTTATTTATTTGCTACGAGATATTTATATCCATTATGTAATTTTTTGTATAAGATTTAAATTCTGAACAGCAAACATCCAACAGTCACTTATTCTATCTAGTCAAGACGAAAGTCACCAATGGTTAGAGACCTTGAACCACATGGATCAAAATCGTTTGCAATGGAGCAAGTGCATCCATTTGTTGAGCTCTCTCAAATCCTAATCTTCTGGATTCGTCAGCACCTCTACCTTTGTCTTTCTAACCTTATCTCACTGAGTTATACTTCTTGAATAGTATCTTTGAACCCTAGTCTTCTTCATTACCATTAATACCACTACTATCTTCATCACTATGGGATTTGATTTGACATTTGCGTCTCTGTTCTAATGTGATATGGCAACATGAACTTATGTACATACGCAGGAAGTTCTTACGTTGCAACTGACTGACTGACTGACTATTCTATCTAGTCATCTATAGCAAACTGGAATTATATTATTCATATCAACATAATCACATGATTAAAACATCATTTGCTCAGGTTCCCAACGTTATCTTGACTTTCAATATTTAAGGCTTATTTATTCTTCTCAGGTCTACGTTATATTGTAAGAATAAACAGTTCATTTCAATTTAATCACATTTTATTTGTTTAATTTTGATTTTTTTTTAATACAGATAAACGATATCAGTGTTCTGCTTGGTTCAGTCATATCAAGGCGCGAGATGCTTGAACAATCACAAAATGCTGCTAAAATTTTATTTCCTTCATGTGTAAGTAATAGTGATGTTTTTCTTTTCAAGCGATAGAAATGATAATGTTATTGTTTGTAATATTAAAAAAAATATGAGAATTCAGTGTGTTTTATAGGCTTCTGTTTGTTTTGCTGAATAGCGGTTACATTAAAAAAAAACGAATACTGAGATTAATATGTTTACTAAATGATGACATTTAGAGTAAATTATCCCATTTTAACACATTTGGTTTCTGGATAATACTATGACAATATTCATATTTGGAATATATTTAATGTGCGAAGTTCCTCGAACTCTTACAGTCATTCATAAGAAAGTTTTGAAATCATTCCTTTTTGTCGGTAATCTATTGTAATTACAAGGATGTTCACATTATAACCACTGTTATTTCGGTAAATTTTCTTGTACTCAATTCGAATATGAATTATAAAATAAACTAAATGATGAACTACTTTTGATATTATAATCAAACAATGGTACATTTAGGAAAACAGTGAACCGTCACTAACGAATCTGTATGTTAGCACGCATTAATGATGTGAATCAACTGTATGAAACGGTTTAGGATTTTTTTAATAAATAGTAGTTAAAGTTTATTTTAACAGTTTATATTTGACGAGATTTGGTATTTACAACCCCGAAATTACTTCACTTGGGTCAGTGAATGAGAATGATCATTCACTAAAAATAAAAGACTTTTACTATTGATGAAAATGGCATTCTACTTTAACGTTACCGACATGAATCTATATAAATTTTTAAAACTTAGCATCTGATTAGAAGTTTTTAGGTCCGGTAATAAGTTAATTTTTGAACTATTTAACTTAATTTCCACTGGATGGTCTAATGATCCGTGAATTTGACATTAAATCTCTTATCAAGGTCTTGATTTCTCTTCTTACAGTAAACTCGCACCGATAAAATGAACTATCACTTTTGACATTTATTCATAATAATAGTGATATTAATAACTGATTTATTCAATATTATACGTTCAGTACAGTAGAGAATTCACAGCATTGAATAGTTCAACAAGTTTCTTTTACAAAACCAACCGGAAAAACTAATAACCGAAGAATGCGTTTATATATATATATATATATATATATATATATATATATATATATATATGAAAAATAAATTAACTTTCTGGAGTTTAAATAAAATGTTTGTTTCTTAATAAGATAAAAACTATACTACTCCTAATTAAGAGCATATGCAGGAATACAAGTTTTTGATTAGGTCAGTTCTTACCACATGTTCGTTGTATAGTACATTTGCTAAATAAGGTATTGTAAAGTCTTTATACCTTTGCTTGAATGCACATGTTTTAATACCAGAAAAGATACAGTGGGAAAAATGAAAAAGGAGTGGACAGTTAGTTCGCAACGTTTGCCAGGAGTTTGCAAGTTTTTAAATGACTATTCTCTGCCATATTCATTATGACTTGAAAATAACCCACTTAAAGCCTGCTAGCCACCTTCAGCATTCCCCGCAACAAAGCAAAATATTTTCTCGAAAGAATAATGAGGAACTGTGAAGTATAGTCAATTGTATCCAAAAATTTACAAATGATCAAAGTAAATATGATTAATGATAAAATCAAGTAACCTCTTTGCAAAGTAATTCAAGCGGAAAACGTCCATCAATATCGGTATAGCCTATGAAGTCAAAATAGATCAATCGTAAAACTTGAACCAAGATAAATGACATTTGATACTGTTTTTATTATAAAGTTTTCAGTGTAACAATCTTCATAGAATTCCGACAGGATGTTTACATCTGGTTCATGTATCAGACTAAAATTAACAGTTTAACATATAGAAGGATTAAGCGTGAGACCATTGACGACAGACCAATGTTCAATGAGCGAAAAAAAAACCCATTTAATTCTAGGGACCATGAGGTAACAGAAATCGGTGTAAATACAGTCAGATCATATGCATACTTAAGAAAGGTGTTTTCTGTTAAAGATGGCAGATCATGCAAAAAAAGAGTAAATAAATGGGGAAAGAACAGCTCCTTGTGTCACACCTTAACTTAGTAAGGACATTGAAAACTTCTGCAATACAGCATACTGGTTTCTTCCAGAAAGGTAAGATAAGCGCCAGTTGGTTGTCCAGACTAATAATGGAAAGGTCGTTTAGTATTTGTAATCTTCGTATAGATTTAAAGGCATTAGTATAATTTAGAAATGCGCTTCGAACATACTTCTCACCCATTTCTAAGCTGAACGCTGTATTGTGATAGAGAATAACAGCAGCATCTAAGGTACTTCTTTCGCATTTGTGAGCAAACTGATAGGAATTAGAATGCTATTTTAAGGTAGATTGACGTAGGAGCTGCAAACGTTTTTTAGTTGTTTTGAGAAAAGAGGATGTTACTTCTATGAGTCCAAATTTTGCATTCTTATAACCGGATACTGTCTTTGAAGTTTAAATAATGTTTTCTCCATAATTTAAGTTGTAAATTTTTTGAGAAGGATTCATTTAAGATGATAGTGAATGGATAACACAGGACGTCAGCACACTTTTTCAAAAAGGAGGTTAGGGATTTGGTCAAGTCCTAAACATTCGGATGGGTTAAGTGAGTGACACTAAACGACATTTTTTATATATAACGGTTTATGTATTTTTTCCTTTTCACAGTGGTTAGCTGAATTGGTCATATCGAATAGACATCAACCATCGGTAAACTGTCCACTGGAAGTGCTTATTCGTGAAATCAGGTGATTAGTGTGCTTTTATTTGTGTACCAGGAATTGAATTTTTTAATTCAACAAATTGCGTCTTTCTGACTTAGTTGTACCTAGTCCACATTATGTTTCACATTGCTACGCTTGAATTCATATTGATAATATTATATAGCTGTGTCACTGACGTGTCAGATCTAACCATTGTATGTATATATATAATAGACTCAGTGGCCCGTGTTACTGACCAAAAACGAATGTATGTATGTTTAATATCCAACATCCATCACTCTGTCAATGATTTCAAACAGTACCAATGTTCTTTTACTTCTCGGTTTCCTCAGAGCGATCCATCAATCCAACTACGTATTCTTTCCACACATATACTTTTTTGAAAAGCTTTAGGAGTAACCTATTTTGGCCCAGAAGTTATCAACGAATTCTGAATCCTTCCTCATTACTTCATTTTATTCACCCTAGTGAAAGGAGGTCTATGCGGACCTGTTTAATAACGAAAGGGGTGGAACTGAAGACATGTGTGTATTGACATGCACAACAGTTTTCTTCACTTCGCCAATTGCGTTTCACTAATATGCATTATTCATCCTTTACACGAATAGCATCTCTATGCAAACTGAAAATACGTAGTTAGTTGTGATTCATCAGTAAAATACAACAAACTTTTGCAAACTCACGCATTATTCTTTAATGTTTCAGTTAATGAGAGTGAGAAAACTTATGCTATACTTTGTACTTTTATTTATGAAGTTTATTAGCGGACTAAAAAAAAACACTAATGTAATAAACATGTCATATTAAATGAAAAATAAAAATGAACTGTATTTATTGAACAAGATCATCATTCCATATTGAATATAAATTGGTTCATTTCGATGTAAAAAAAACAAACAAACAAACAAGCAACAACAACAACAGATAAAACTTGATCAACATTGACACCAATCATTCTTTAAACGAAATCACAAGGAAACAAAGGTTAACACTTCCTACATGTACATTTTACATTTGGCCTTAATGATCTACGAAAAATCTGAATGCCTATAATATATCGCTCCTGAATAATGCTTCTTTTGGTAACAAACGTAAATTCTAAAAAAAAAAATACAATTCCTTAAACATTTAGGTTATACAGACTATCAAAACTAATCTAACATTTGAAATGCTTTTTGAATATTGTTATTATTACCAGATTCGTGTAAAATGTGTTCACACAGCTTGTTGTAAATTTGATAAAAATGAATGTCATTTATGTTGTTTTTTTTTGTACTAGTTTACTTTTATTTTTTGTTTTCACAGAAGTTCAAGTAATCAGGAGATTGATGTTAAAGAAGTCACGACAAGTTTCGTTACCCAATTAGCATCTGTTAGCAAAAATCAAAATATTGTCAACTTTCATCCGCTGAATAACAAACAACACAGTGAGCACTTTAAAATCAATTTAACTTTTCTTAACTATAATGCGGACATGTAATTGAGAGTAGATTCGTTTAATTCATTGATAAGGTACAGAGTCTGTAATATTTTAAATTTGTTTCTACCGTACAAATGATTGAATTTAAAAGTTATCAGATGTGATCATCGTTTAGAATTTATTAGTCTTTAATTTATGATTAACGTTTAATCGTCAAAAAAAGCAGACTTTTAAATACGAATTATAATATTGTGGCTTTATATCGGTTTTAATTGGAATTTCATATGCAGAAAAGTAGACTGATAGCATACATACTTGTATTAATGTATTTGCTAGATGTACATTAGTAGATGTTGATCATAGAATTACCCTCCCCTTCTTAATTTTCTTGTGGTAGCCAATTTCGACGGCGAGCTCACCATTTGTAATGGGTAGATTTATTGCGTGTTCTTAAGGTCGGTAATTAGCTCGTCCAGACAATCTTTACTAAATATCGTCTGACGGTTTATAAATCAGAAGGTGAACTCGAAGTGATGAATACGTTTATTTGGGACACCACAAAGCGAAGCGGAGAAGCAGTGAATAAAACGAATGAAGCGACGTGAATTGAAGAAGGCTGTTGAGCCAGTGACGAATAGTTGACAAGGTCAAATGACAAGGAGGACACGTCATGTGAGCTCATACAAACCAGACAATAATAAGAACGAATGGTACATATAAGTTGTTGCTACGCCAGGGCTTGGTTAAATAAATTAATAGAAAGGGCTTAACCAAGTCAGATGTAAGCGAACTGAAATATATGTGTAAGCACTACATTCTAATAGAATGCTAAGATTATGTTACCACTATAGTTTCTAAATATGTAAGGTAGACGAATCGATCAAATGCTCTTCCTAACTTCACATCAAATAAAGCATGAGAACACTTGGCCAAGTGACATCATCCATTTATCAAATCATTTAAATCCCTATTTTCGTTGTTAGTACGACAAATAAACATTGATAACTCTAACCTACATGTAGTAAAACTGGTAATCAATTGTTTTCACAGTTTGTAACAAACAAAGTTATATCTCCGATATAAATGTTTGATTTCCTCAATCGGATTTCCAATATTAAAAACTTATCGTGGTACATATTTAACATACATCTATATTTAAATTTATAATATATAGTGATTCAAAGAAATCTGCTCACAAATGTTTCTGTCTACAAAAAAAAATTATTTACAACGGTTTAGAAGAAACCAAAATGATTGTCTTTGACCATATGTTGACCACATGTTACATAGTTAGATGAATATGAATAAGACAAGTGTGGTTAACTGCATTCATCATTATCTCTTAGAAAGTCAAAAAAAATTAACTGCTCGAATAGAATTAAACCAAGATATGGGCTGTGTGTAAATTTGTCCAGGAAACATAATTTTCACTGAATATCTATTTGTGATTTAGAGTTTCAAACTTTTTTCTGTTGTGAATGCGTGCATATTTTTAATTCGTTCAGTTGAAAATCGAATTAAGCATTGTCAGATGAATTATATTGCTATAAGAATACGTTAAACACAAACTGACGCGAATTCTCACTGCTAATGAATGAAACAGCTATTCAGTGCTTTCAGGATTTTACTGGTGATCTGACATTGGTTTCAGTGAAACACAACAATCTCTTCAACCCTATAATGATAAGATATAGTATAAAAAATTTTCAGTGTCTACAGATATAAGAGAAATACGTTATAAAGTAATTATTTGGTCAGTTCGAAACAGTTTTTTAAGCGAAGTTATTATCAATAAACCACTTAGCTCGTCAAAAATAAAGTCAAATATGGACTTTTTGTTCTACATTCAACTGTGCAGTTACCTAGATAATCTTAACATCTTCATCTGTTTGGTTGGGCTGATCAAGTATTAAAAAGCCTGCATAGAAGCTGGGACTAATTACGTACCGAAAAATTGACATTTTCACGTGAAGTTACTTTAAACTGAAGTTTATGATTATATGATGGATTGGTTGCTTAATCATTTTTATTTTACTTATTAGTGATCTCTTTCGAGTTAAATAAAGACGACAGAACTGGTGAGAATGTTGCTCATTTTGTGGTAAGTGAATTTCAAATGATCTTTACAAATCACTAAGATTATTTGTGAGTTATTTTATGCTTTTTAAGAATGAAGGGATGACGATAGTGAAAAATTTAAGGCCTAAATATATTATCCGTTTGGTTTGTCAGAAAATATTAGACCGTAGGTACTAAAATTGTGGGCCACTTTTAAAAGATCTAACGATAGTTTTTATTTTTGCGGCATTTAGAATTGACCTAGATATCATTCTAGAAAAAATGACAAATAACAATAATTTTTGTTGAATAATGTGTTGAAAAAATACTTCACTAAGTTTTACCGAATTCTACTCTGTTTCATTGTTTACTATACTGTAACCGAAATTGCAGTCTTCAGCGATCTGATATATCGGGAAATCCCTGGAAACAAACAACAATATTTCTGTGTATTGGGTGGCTTTGTTGCCAGCCATCATGTGCATTACTCCTGCCCTGACAAATATAGTGACTCCCATACTAGCATTCAAAATATTCTAACTAGTTACTTTTAATAAATAGAAGAGGGTATCTTCTACTATGACAAAAATATTCATACGCAAAAATAAACCATATCAATGGTTTCACGTAAAACGTACTTAAACATCCTTTTTGGTAGTTTCTAAGGGGTAATCTTGTTACTAGTATCCGTTTTATTCATGACAATTTAATGATCGCATTAATATTATGTCTTAAGCTGATTTTGGTTATTTTTGTCCATAAAAAGTTTACCCATTCTTCAACTAGTTTAGGTTCAACTATATTTTCTTGGAGGAATAAAGTTTGTTGAAAGACATTGTGGTGTATACATTTCTTGACAAACTGAAATTGTTTAATGTATATTTTTCCTGTCAGCGAAATATTACATCAAATACTTTGATTTTTAAAATGTCACAAAAGCATTGTAATCATTTTTTCTCATCGTAATTAATGGTAGTGACGTTAAAGTTTTTATATAGATAAGCTGTTTCGAATTTATAAAACGGATTGTTTCTTAAGGATTTTATTTTCTAATCATTAAAATAAGAGAAAACAGTAATATGGGTATAGAACTGTTATTTATCATGTTACATCATCCGTTATAAGCTAGATAATATCAGACATTCTGAAAGTCGCACAGACTATATTTAAGTTTTTTGCTTACTTTCTGCCTGATTCAAAACTCTAGATTTGAGTAGGATCAAATAATGATAACTCTTCTAGCTTTGCAAATTAGGACTGTGCACACTTTCTGAGTCAGAGATAATCGTTCGCCAGGTTTATTCGTTAAACAATTCATTGTATCGTTCCGTTTATGTCAAGGTTTCTACCATTTTTATTTACTCCTCGGATTTCATTGTTTCATCATTACAACTGCCTTACATAGTATATACTGGAAATATTACGCATCAATCAATGGGTACCAGTCAACTTATCACTGTTTAGTTCTTAAATATAGTAGGAATTCACTAGCCCAAGTTACAACAAAATCACTAAGGGATGGTGTATTCGTTATCCATTTTTCCTTATTTATCAAAAATAAAGTGATTCCTCCATCACATTTTGACCACAATAGTATGCAGCTAATGTAGCCTTCCTCAGTCAAACAAATCCCACTGGATGACAATAAAGTTTTTACTAGAATGCTTACATACTTTTGAATTAAATAATAATTCGTATACTTCTTACTTACTAAGTTACGAAAGTCTGACAAATAGTAGTGATGCTGAAGTGAGTTAGAACGCAGGTGGGGCAACCGAATTGTATTAAACGGAAATTACAGAGTTACTCAGTAAAATTGGAAAACCATATCGTAAATCGTTCATTTGCAAAATAACAGTTCATCAGATCGAACTGGACTGTTCCTGTTGCAAAACATCAATCCATTGTCATTATTCATGCGTTTCATTCAAATTCCATTGTTTTCTAACTCTTCCTTTCTTGATCTTCCCCCATCTTCGGCTGCCAGACATTACGTTGACGCTCACGTCATATACTACTTATAAGTAGCTCGCACCACAGCACCACAATGTGATAGTGATAACTGTACTATTGTTCAAACATTGTGAGCTATTTTAATTTGATAATTTTTGCATTTCGTTTGTCCACATAGATGATTCTGGAATCCCTACCACATGTTCACCTTCACAAGGCTCAACTGCTTAAAAGTCAGGTACGTCCTTCTCTAAAAGATATGTACTATTTTTTGATATGTATTAATAGTATCAATGTTTTGATTGATCTGTTATGATAAATGATAACTTTAAATGAATATACATTTGCATTTAATTTCGGCGAATATCATTATCTATGCATAATATTTAATGACAGCAATTATTGTTGCTCCTTTCTACTTCTATGATTCTCATTTAATACCTTAGCTGATATTATAAAAATTTGAGCGAAAGTAGAGCTACTTCCATCTGAAGTTTGTGATGATGATCATGTTCAGAAGAACAACTGTAGTGGCCAATTTCAACGTGTTCTTAAGCTTCCTAATTCGCTCGTCTAGGCAATCGTCGCCAAATAGCGCCTGACGGTTATAAATCAGGAGGCAAATACGAAGTGTCGAATTCGTCTATTGTAAGCATACCACAAAATGGGACAGCGGACCACAAGCAGACAGGGGCAGGCACACCAGCAACCGAATTGGTGAATGTGCTAATATGCGAATGAATTAATAAGATTAAAATGTTGGTATATATGTATAGGAAAATGTTTGAGTCATCGAGATTAACATCAAAGCAATATTCAGTCGTACGAGCTCATACAAACCAGACAATAATAAAAATCAATGGTACACATAAATTGTTGCTATATAAATGGCTTGGTTAAATAAATTAATCCAAAGGCTTAACCAAATTAAATGTAAGCGAACTCAAACATATGTGGAGGCACTACACAATGAAAGCTTCACAACCGAATTATCCAGCTCAGAGAACGAAATACGATCACAAAGTACATCTACTCCAGTTCGGAAATATACCAATGAAGACTAGCTGAGAATGACTACTATTCAATACTTTCATGAGCACTGTAACCTATAATATCTAATAAATCAGTCGTAATCTATTATTCATAAGTATGTACAAATATTTTTCTAATTTTGCATTCATGAAACAATCTTTTACTAGTTTTCTCATGCTTAAATTTGGAATTTGTAAATTTATCTGTATTGTTACAGCTTTCTTCTACATTAAATAGAATTATTCGTTTGGAACAAATGAATGAATTCTCATCGACCTCACTACTTATTAAACAAAGATATCCATGTTGCAGTCAGGGTACAGAAGCTTCAACATGGATAAGTCGTGAAGATAATATATTGATTCTTAAGCTATGTGGTAATATCTTTAAAATATTGATTGCATGCCAATTTTATATATTTCAATGTATTAAGTTAATGTGATTGATAACTTTTCAAACGAAACTAATTCACGCTTCTCAATCAATGTTCATTCTGCGAATTTTGAATATGTTTTATTACGGTTTACATAAACTAAGCTTCATTATGATAAAAACGCTATTCCCGAATTCATTATCACATTTTGTCAAAAGAATTTTAGTTTCACTGACAAATTTGTAAAGGTTTACCTACGAATACTGTATGTCTAATAAGTACAGTTTATCATAAAACACTGTTATTTGGAGCTTGTGACAAAAATAATATGATGGCTGAATGAAAAATTGCACTCGAATTTCTGTTGGCCAAAATTACCTCGTAGTTGCAGAGATTTTGTATGAATTAAGATGTAATTTATGCTAGGCATAATTCCAACAATCAAAGCGATCAATATATGCTGACATTCAATTTATCATTTTGTTTATTACTATACAGAATCACTTTGGGATACAGAAACCAATCGTTTACAACATAAAGTTCTTAAATATGTAAGTTAAGCAATTTTTTTCCTGATTCCTTGTTAAATATATAAAAAACTAAGTATATATAAATATATAACATATGACAAAAATAAATTGTCTACTAGTCTACCTACCGATACAGTTCTAATCGATTTAGTTCATAAATATTTTTGTCTACAAATCAAGAATTTCTAGAATACAATGATTTAACTGATAAATGATTATCCTAAAAAAAAATTAAGTCATCTGTCATATTGTGATCACACCATATGCTTCATCTATTCCTTTGCCACATTCTACAACAATCAGTCGAAAAAAAAAGACTTTTTCCAGACCTCACATCAAATGTAAAGTACTAAGAGATTCTGCATTTGTTGTCCGGTAGAGTTTTTTTCTAGTGTAACAAAATCGAGGTGATCCGGAAATAAAAAGACATTTTTGATAAAAGGAAGTTTTAACTTGAAACAGAGAACAATAAGTGCTCTAGTGAAATATGAAGATGTGTTTAATTTTTATTTAAAAATAAATCCATCAAATAAATGAATGAATATTTGCTTTTTAGTTAATGGAGCGTACAAATTCAGAAAATGGTTTCATTGTAATGCGAAATATTGATACTTCGGAGTTAGTATGTTACGTAAGTTTTTTTTCGTTACTATTTTTTAATACATGGAGTTTGTTGCAAGAGACTAACTAATTTGTCAAGGTATTTAGAACAATAGAGTTGCTAGGTGATAAATGAGGTGTACAGTTTTTCCTTATTATCCTCAATGAGGTCATTTCCACCATCCATAATAATTTTATACAATAGTCGCATAAAAATGTACAGCGAAGAAAATTCAAAATTCACTATACGAACTGCAAATATGTTGTTGCTGAATACCAGATATCTCAACTATGAAATGTACAGAAAGTAATGAACCTCTACTCACTATATTCGTCTTTTATTCGTATTCAGATTAAATCAGAAGTGGTGGTTTTATGATACGTGTCCTTTCAACAACTATATTTATGCTTTGCCATGAACGAATAAAAATATCATTAACCCTTTTAACTTCAGTTTTAGTATGCGTATGTTGGATGTTATAATCGTCTGAGGAGATAGTTATATTGAGCACATAACTAGATAAACGTATCAACGTAATTCGGAACATCATCCCTCATGGTTGACCTAAAGACAGAAAAAAATTATGAGAGGCTCTACATTGTAGTATCTAGTCAATACAAGTCATTACATACATAAAACTTCAGCAGTTAAATTTATTTATAATATCCGCCCGAATTTGCTCTATATGGTTCTAAAATTCGACTTTCACATATAGCAGAGGCTATAGGAATACACATTAATAGACTGAGTTTCTGAATACAGGAAAAAATTGTGCAGCCTCCATATAGATATTATTACATGTTTCAAAGCCTTTTTTTCCTTTCCTTTAAACTTCCCTGCATTCCGACTTAACTGGTATTTTAATATCCAATTCCAATCTTACATAACCTGAATAACAATCCTTTCATTTCGAATTATTTTAAGGATAACAAGACGCTTACATTTACAAGCAATCTCAGTTCTTACTCCTAATTTTATGCAACTATTAACCCTAATTGACTGATTATGTAAATTCATCCTAGTTCTACTTTTAGTATCTCAAACGTTATGTACCTAACTAACAAACCATAACATTATTAAATTGCCTCACTACCATCTAGTTGACATTGGCTTTTCACTCATTTGTAAAACATATTATATTAGTATCAAGCCTTGTTATAGAACTAATTGGAAAGATATATTTCTTTCCTCATGCTCTCCTCTTAATATCTATCTCAAAGGGAATATTTCATGAATATAATGTCTGATATCGTAAACGTTCTATAATCAGTAGATTAAAAGCTAACACCTGAAACTACATTTATTTGCGATATAAAAAAATCATAAGTTTGCCTGATTCGTTTAACTATCAGTTTACTAAAGAGTAGTGAATAAGACAAAAAAAAATCGTTGTTGACTAACAAAAAATTTCCATGATGGTAAAATAAAACGGTGTGCAGAGATTAATACAGGAATCAAGTGAAAATTTGATAACACCAACGGACATACTAAAATCTTACTCATACTTTTATTCTAAGCCATCTGTAAGATACTAAATGATAGATTTACTAGCCATTGGTCATCGTAATTATTGCTCAGAGATTTTGAAGATTCATTAACATCGTATTAAATGTACTACTTATTAGGTTTAATTTAAAAACCTATCTATAATTATTCAAAATTATGGATAATGTTCATCTGAAAAGTATCATTTTATTTGAAATATGGATAGCCAACCTATCAGTAAAGTCGTATTTCCACTAAAACCTAATGTGATTAGGTTAGATGTTTGAATAATCTCATTTTATTTCATTTCACTACTTTTCAGTGTACTGCTAATGAGATATTTGATGAATCCATATATATTGAGGTAAGCTTAGTATTATTTCATTATTAGTAATTATTTTAAAATAGTAAGGAATAATATATTGTCAGAAAATCTACTAACTATGAAGGATTTTTTTAAAATTAATGTACAACCGTTTTCATTACGAATACATTTGTAAATAATGTATATTAAGGTTTATTATCCCCCGATAAATTTTGAATAAATAATGAAGCACCAAAACGATGCGATGAAAACTAAACATTGAAATTATGAATGAATCATTATTAGACCACCATTAGAAAACCTGAAGGCACTGTGTGGCCGTCTCGTCCTTGCATGGGACTCATCAGCAGTGCGCATCCACGACTCCTGCTACTCACAGGATTCGTACTAGTGGAGTTCACCCCTACTGAGTGTAGGAAGTAACTACCGGAGACATTGGGTGAGGTCGCGCCACATCCTTAGATTGATCAGAGTTAGACATTAAAATCGCTGGATGCTGGCTTAGTGGTTCAGAAGTTAAGCGTTCATGCACGAGACCGAATTTCCTGGATTCGAGTCCTGCGAGTAGCCGGGGTCATGGATTCACACTTCTGATGACTACTATACCAAGGCGAAATGACCATCCAGTGCTTACACGTTCCTATTGCTGGTCTAACAATAATTCATTCATAATTTCAATATAAGACAAAGATCACCGTAATTCCTATAGTGTAAAATTAAACAGTTTAAAAGTGGGTACAAAATTTAGTAAGTACTGGTTGATCGTTAGAAAATAAAAATTGCAAAATTGTCTCAAAAATACAGACGCCAGAGATTTTTCTTGGTAAATTGCATTAAAACTTTGTCATAAAGACTCAACTATATTCGATGACGCATCATGTTTATGTCAAAGTTGTAATTTAGTTTATTTTACCTTAGATCTTGTAAAAGAATTATCTTCACCATATTTATCATGTTAATGCTTAGTTGTTGAATAATATTCCGCTTTTACAACATAATCTGTCGTGTTTTTGAATTGTCTCAACCTACAATATCAAACATCTCCTATCTCATTCTGAAAGGTTTTTACTCATTCAAGTTGAAAATATACTTACAAGCAAATCTTACCGAAATGATATAACATGTTTCTGGAGAGAATTGTTTTTACATAGTTGGTTTTTTTATCTCAACAAACATTAAACGTATAGATGATAAATAATGTATCTTTTATGTTAATCACGTTCATAAACCTGATAACATTACACGTGTGCGAATTTGTAAGATAATATCAAATGTATTTTTCAAAAAAGGACATCGGCTATTCATATAGTCACTTTATGTTTAGCTTTTGTATTAACATATTTATATTTGCCATTCATTAAGGATAAAATTCATAGGGAAGTATTCATCCTTTCAGTAGATCAGTATCAATTCCTAATCTACTCTAGGAATTTTCCTAACAAACTTTATTTTTATCACTGATTATAGCTTTGCTTAACATACCTGCTTATAGTTTCTGACATATCTGGAGAGTAATAATTAAAACATCAGTAGATTATACAATCCGGATTAAGTTGAAAATGCTTGATATCTCACATAAAGATGAAAATAACACTGATGTACTTTCGTAATGACGACATTAATCTACTGATTTTGAGAGAACACTAATTCAAGTTCAACTGAGATGCATCATTTTACATAGAATATTAAATGTTAGAAAATAACTATTATTATTTTCTACTAGATACATTGTTGTAATATTTTTACACTTATTTATTATTATTATTATGACAATATTTAATTTTATAGAATGACAGTTTTTTCAACGAAATAATGCTATCCGGAAAAACGTTTAAAGCAACACATCTAACTGCAGTGAGTTCTTTTTTTTAAACGAGTTTATTACTGATGTTAAATGTTAATTTTATATTTTGGTATTTCGATAAACATAAATCGTTGTGATATTTTACCTGAAAAAAGAAAGGCAATAAATGCTTCAGTGATAAACGAAAACGATCCATAAAACAATTAATGTTATCTAATATATTACACTATTTAATCAAACTCTAATATCATTAATTGGGAAAAAAAGAAAGGCACTTTATTATTGGGCAATCAGTAGATCTCCTATTGTCACATTCATATATAATTATTGTACGGACTTATTTTTCTTCTTCATGGCCGGAATATAACATCCGCTCTCCTAAAGCTAGTCTTTATTGCCCAACATGCGTCCATTGTGTTTCACTTATTCCAAGTACCATCAGGTTGTATCTTTTCTTAAATGCATCGACTTGGATGACTCTCCCAGTCTCCCACAATGTACGAAAATTCCGTTTTTAAAACAATTAGTCTCTTTTATAAATTTTGATAGAACAGTGAGAAGATGTAACTGATCTGAAAAATGCAAATACATCACATTTTTCAGATCAATTACGTCTTCTCAGTTGAGAGTTTTAGTGTTTCACTCAGCAGATGCCGTGAAAAAGGAATGTTTAGGCAGTATATAGTGTTCGTTTTATCAAAGCATGATGTAAGAATTTGTTACATACTGCATCAATGTACATTGACTCATCAATTAATGTGATAAATTATTTTCAATACATATTCCAGTATGTTGTTTATGTTTTTTTTACTGACATCAACAATATTTATTACAGATATTTTCTCTACAATCAAATTTAAATTATCCGCGAACATGATTTTATGTTATATATATATGTATATTTTTTCTAATTTTCAGGAACAAGAACATACATTATTATCTGTTCTGTCGATTCATAATTTATGTCTGAACAATGAACAATGCATAACTAATCAACATTCGGATATTCACATTCATTCAGTTTTGTGCAGTCCAGTGTTTACTCGTTCCAGTGACCGACCTATTGCAGTTGTTTGTTTGATCAACAAAAGAAATTCTCAGTAGGTGTCAAAAATTATTTATAAATAAAATTATCCTTATAACATATTTCAATGTAGTTTTATTTCAGTGGAAAGTGAACCGATTTAATCGATTAGCAACAAGTTTACACTAAAGAAACCAGTACCATATATCTAGGATTAGATATTCTATGTAAATGCTGATTGAGAATACGTTTTCAAGGTAAAGAAAAACATTCCGTGTACATCACCATCAATACGAATGATCATTCACATTGGACTCAATGTTATCGATAGTGACGTATATTTCCTAGCTTGAGTAAGTTGTTTTCCATTTTAGGTTGTGGGCAAGGCTGTGCACGACTTATAACCAGCATCATATGCCTTTATTAATAATTTAAATCATACTAGCCAACATTATTGAAAAATTACCGATACTTAAAGTCCTTCTAGACAGCATCATTTTTCGTGCTCAAATAATTTTTTATTTCTAGTATTATGTTTTGAGAAACCTTTATACTTCAATGTTCTATTAAATGCGAGGAGAAATATATGTATAATGAATGTACCAATGTCAGGTACAAATCATTTTTTAAGAAGAATCATTAACAATAAAATATCTTACTTCAGAAATAGTATTTCGTGTATGCGGAACATTAATAAATGGAAAATAACAATTTTATTCATATACTACCATTTTCAATCTGAGAAACAACTATGGACCATCACATGCAAGACAAACATTTTTCATTTTTGCACTTATAATTTGTAGTAAACTTAATATGTTCATTCACAAACTCATAAAACAATATCAGAAACCGCGAAATCGAACATACAATATTTAACCACGCAATCATCAATAACGAAGCAATCATGAGAGATGTATGACAGCATTCTTCAATTAGAGATAAGGAGATAGTTGTTAATTACTGAAATCATGAATGAATCATTTTTAGACCACCATTAGGAAACAAGCAAGCGCTGTACGACCGTTTGATCCTGGCATGGGACTCATTATCAGTGCAAACCCACAACTCCTGCTACTTTCAGGTTTTGATCCCGGGACCTTTGTTTTTGCGCCCGAACGCCTAACCTCTGGACCGCACATTTATCTTCGATAGTTGCTGCGTACATCCGACGGAGTTGAACTTCATTGGTTACATCTCACTAGAAGTCGGATAATTTCCTCACGAGGCTAGTCACTAATGAGCAAATTGTATAATTCTTCAATTGACACCATTGAATGCCGGCCCAGCTGTGCAGAGGTTAGGTTTTTACGCACAAGAACAAAGGTCCCGGGTTCTAATCCTGCGAATCGTGGATGGGCATTACTCATGCGTTCTATGCCAGGACCAAACGGTCGTCCAGTGCATCCAGGTTTCCTAATGGTGGTCTAACGATGATTGATTCATGAATTCAGCACTACTATATTGATGAAAAAAATATTTTTTGTGTTCTCTGATACTTTTATGAAGCTTCCATTAAAGTTTTATCCAATCTACAAACAAGACAAAGCATTCCATCCTCATTGACAAAGTTTCATAATTCATATTAGGCAGAAAATCTAATAGTTCAAACATGATATAACTTGTAGTTGAATGTCTTATAATGAATTAGCTTTCCTGAGTCGGAAAGAGAAGTATTTGAAGAAAGATCATTGAATAGCCCAATTTAAATTAGCCCAACTGTTGTTTTTACCTATTAAAGGGATTCAAAACTTGATTTATGCGATGACTGGAGTTATCGAACAAAGTTTGCTAAATAGCTTTATTTAACCACACTCTCATTATTCTTTTGTTAAATAACTTCTATTATAAGGTATAATTAATGTATTAAATAATGTTTGCTTTTCAACTTTATCTTCTAGCTTTACAAAATCAGACGAGCATGTCATAGAAGAATGCTTTCGTTTTGTTGCACCCATTCTCTTAAGCTCATTGGCATATCAAAACGAACGATATATTAGAGATAGAACTGAAGTAAGATTATTTGCGCTTAGTGTATTATCAGTGAATTTCCCGTTTCTCATATAAGTTTACCATCACTCATGTTAAAAGTTACTTGCTTGAAAACAATTTGTTTCATAAAAATAATCAAGAATAACAAATATGTTCGTGAATTAAGAATCGTAATCACAGAAGCGAATCACCGAATGATTGAGAGAATTCATTTTTACATTAATTTTTGTCTTATTCAGTAAAACATACCCAGTGAAACATAAAACGCAGAGTAAGAGTTTTATAAGGAGTAAGCTTTACAAATAATCGATTTACAAAGATGTTTGATCTGATGTTACACCTGTCAATGTTACCTAAGAGCACGTGAATTGATAGAGATACAGAAAGAGCTAGCTAGTCTAGGTGGTCTGTCTTTCAACCTCGGAATAGCCATTACATGTGTGGCAAACACTAGTTGTAGTTTAGCAGCTTGAAGGTTCTTTGGATTGCTCTTGGCAGCTTTAGTATTAGCATTTCACTAGGTGTGTCTGTTAGTGGGAGATGGATGAATTAAAGCATGACTGCGCTTGCTGCGCGCTGACTGGCTACATATAATCCGGTCAGTGCTAGTCAATCACGTAAATTACATTCCAGAAGCTTCTTATGTAAAAACTATAAGGACACTTACGTTGTATCTATTTTGCCTTTGTCTTTGCCTTCTCCTTCAGCTTCTTATTTCCATTTAACCTTGCTATTTGGAATATAATCTTTTCTTGTTCCACCGTGTTTTGATTCTTTGGAACTTGTCCAGTGTATTGTGGTCAGAGAATACTAAGCAGTAGGAATTAGCTGGAAATTATTTAAGTGAGCGTTGCAGCAGCGTCTCCCTATATTAATAAAGGCTTATATACAGAGACTTTCCGGTCACATTTAGTATTTTCTTATACCCACTTTTCGTGACTGGATGTTATGAATGTCATAGAATACTCATTTTCTTTCAATATATTTGTTTTTTCTGCAACCCCATCTGCGAAGCATGTAGTATTGATTCCATATTGAAAAAATGCACAAATCTGCTATCAATAAGACTTACTACTGAGAAAATGCAGTTATCACAGAAAAATCAAGATCCATGCTTCAGGGAGGACCTAAAAAAGTGTAAACGACTGCATCACGTTCCACTGCATTTATCAGTTTAAATTTGTCTCTAGGCCACATATACATAAAAGGTAATAAGTATGATTTGCAAATTAGTGTCTGAAGATGTACTTACACTATTGCAAAAAAAGATCAAATCAAATAATTCAATACGAGTAGATCTTACACATCCATCATCTTATGTTGTCAGACACATAGTTGAAAATTGTCATAAGACAGATCTTAACTCGACTTTTTTGTGATGTATAAATGTTCTGAAATATGTCTACTAAAGTTTATTAAAGCCTTGGTTATACGAAAGTTTAAACCTCCTTTGCGGATTCAAAACCAAAGAAGATTTGAGTGAAAATTCTTGTCTTCAATAACTTCATTATTAAGCTGTACAGTTATAAGTCCATAATTATTGTGTTATTACACAAAGCCTCTGTGTTTATTCTGGTCACTAGAAACTTAAACTGGATATTTATTTGCACGATGTATTGTACTATTGTATCGATTACAACTTGACAGCTTACCTTGAATCATTCTGACCTTCATTAAATGACCTTTCTAATTTACAAATAACACAACCTTGAAATATTTATACCGTAGTAGTTGCAACATTTCACGACTTTGTAAAATTACACATTAATTATGGGTTAATAACTATAGAGCCAGGTGACAAAGTTATTGAAAATAATTGTTCGCTCAAATATTCTTTGTTTCTTAACATTCTGTAGGGGATTCTGAAATTAGTTAAAAATGGTTTGTTCTCACCCTAAACCTACCTTGGTAAGATTGTGTTATTATCCAGGGTGGTGTTTCAAATAATCTTCGTCTGCTCATTACACTATCAAAATATTACACCTGAATTTTCTCACTCACATATGAAATTAATGGCTAAACAAACAGTATATACCTGGTCAGCATGCTCTTTACGAAGGAGGCGGAATGAAAACTCGTCAATAAATTGTACAAATGAACCGTTTTTTCTAGTTCAACGGGAAAAATGTCGGCTATTATTATTTAAATAGATATTTTGTTCAAATTCCCTCTATAGGAACTGTTTTTTAAATGCATATTGTATTCTACTATCGAAAATGCAAATGTATCAAACTTTATGGCTAACTACAACTCATTTTTCATTCAAAATAGATTTTCGAACTAATCTAGAATGAAGACTCCAGTCACTCACTGTCTACTAATATAGTTCTATCTCAAAAAGAAACCTAGTTGTTTCAATAACTAAGAACTGTTAGCACTAAGTTAATGTTATTTTCAAAATTTTAATTACCTCATATTTCTATCCAATAATTTTCTGTTTATACTATCAAAAATTGTTGAATTTAGGATATGCTTAAAGTAGCGAGGAATATTTTCACCCACATGATGGATTTAACGAATCTCTTATTGAAAATAATGCAAGAAGCTCAAAATTTAACAAAAGCTGAAAGGTTCGTTTGCTTGTTTGTTTGCTATTTCATAGATTAATCAATATCGCAGAAGTGAATTAATCCAAAATTACTTTTTTTCCTAATCACTCATAGTTATCTCGATTTTGTGGGACAAAATATATGTATATAAGAAATATTACTAAGTAATTGTAATGATATGACTGTTACAACTAAATTTTCCTTTTTTCTGAGACTTAGTCACTTTCTAAGATCGTCAAGAAATTTACATGAGTCACTGAAGCTTATTAAAATTAATTTATTTTGGGCATTTAGAACAGATATAAGGTTATTTTTTTTAAGAATAGTTCCCCATCTTCAAGCTATGACTACATGGAATTGAATCTATAAAAATAAGTTAATTTCATAAAAACGTTTAGCGATAGATTAGAGCTGATGAAGTCTTGGAATTCATGAAACAGAAATATAAATAGTTAATTTTTCTGATAACTCCACCTCTGAATACAGAATACAATTCAAGGCTCTATAAAATTAAAAATGAGGATTAATAATCTAAAAATACTTTAGATTCCAAAGTGATTTTGATATGCTTGTCATTTGATATGCTTAAAACTATTAGGGGTTCATCTTAGTCGGTAAACGAGAGCGAAGACAAATGATCCAGTGACACAATAGGCTACTCCAGTCTGAGCGTCTCAGGGCCCCACTAAGTAGAGGAAGAAATCTTGATATGAAGTAGAAAGTATATTCTACAAGCACACAGAAAATATGAGGTTGACAGACACACAAATCCAGTTTATTTATACATGGTAGAAACGTTCTTGAGAGAGCCACAAAAATAGCGTACTAAAATAACACATCAACCAATAACAGTCAAGGATTTTCCGGGTGGGAAATGTAATCTCAAGGTCAACTGATCAGCCCATGCGCCAAAACAATAAAATCCAAAATTAGGACCTTCATCGAGTGACTTCTGGGGATCTAATGTCCACAACAGATCTTAACACACATCTTGTCTTATTGAGAAATCAACATTTGTCTGACTAGCACATTACTGTGTGACATCAAACACTGTCTATTTTCGATGTAGTATGAGTTGAAGGATTTGCAATAGTAATATTTTCTGCCTCTCACGTTTCGGTGAAAATGGTGAAGAAGGCTAAATAGTTTAATTACTCCCAACTGAAAAATATCCAAAAGCTTTCAGATCAATATTTTCGAAAATTCGGTCCGTTTATTGGTTATATATATATATATATATATATATATATATATTTATATATTTATATATTTATATATGCATATATAAAGTGATATCAGACGTATTTAAATCACGATAAATAAATAATATATATTTATATATTTATATATTTATATATATATATATATATATATATTTATCGTGATTTAAATACGTCTGATATCACTTTATATATGCATACATATATTTATTAAGCTATTACTTCATTAGCTGACGGTTCTTAAAAGAACTAGTAAGATTTCAAATCCATTAGGTCACCAAAATCTTTTATGATTAACTTAATTTATATTGACTGTGATGAAGGTAGTTGGTAGTTGATCAGCCTGTTGGTAAAGTTTAAGTGGCTAGTTTACTTCATTTGAGTAATTTATTCATACGATTAATCATCACGAAAACATTGACCTTAAAAAGTGATCTGTTATCGCATGACTTGAACACTATTCACTTTAAAACTAGTATACTTATTTAAATTGAACTATATTTATTTATTTTATGTATCAGATGCTCAGTTTTCTTGCTTGATTCAGAAACTAATGTATTAGTTGCAAAAGTATTGGATGGATTACCAACAGCTCCGAACAAAAATGTAAGTTGTATGGTTTAAAGCACTTTATTATGGTTCTTTTCATAGATTAAAACAGGAATATATGTCGGTGCACTTACTATAACCATAATGTTTTTCTTGATATCGTTCTGACTAACTGCAGTAATACTATACAATTTATGTTTAATATAGTTTCAAGAAAAAATTAGCAACTAAATTATAATTTATTATGCAGATGCAAAGTGTAACTTACCATTTACAATTATGTTAATCTCTTAACTATGTCAACTTATCTTAAAACTTTTTCAATAAAACTGTCTGTAGTAGAAATATTTGAGAATAAGGCTGCTAAATGTTACTTTACTGTTTTTAATTCTAAAATCCCTCTTAGTTAGTATAAAATCAAGCATCGATAAAAGTTTACATATCAATGTTATTATTATCGTTTTTGAAATATAAAGCGCATTCTGTCAAGACAACTTACAATAAACCGACTAATTAGTGTGCAACATAATCATGATGTCTCATGCGCACGTCGATAGGAATACAACATAGTTCTTTCTGATCAGTTTATGAAACTTTTGAAAGCGGTAGTTCTCAGCTGGTGATATTTAGTTTTCTGTCGAAAAATCCATTCAAAATCACTGAAAAAATATTCATTTTTACGCGAATGGAAAAAAACTACTGACCACTACACAGGTTCCGATGTTCGATGTTACCTAAACTGTCGAAACTGTTGTAAAGGTCTTACTTGAATGCCATGTTCCCTTCGGAATTTGTGTTATTATAGCCGATAATTGTAATTCATTTAGTAAAAACTTCTGGCTGACTTTAATTTTTTAGACCCCATATTTTAAAAACTTACAATATACTCACGTTTTCTTTACACCAATTATAGTCATCTCATACATCGAACCGTTTAAATATTAGACGATGGAACAATACTTCAAACCTGGTTTATTACAGCTGACTTTTGTTTAACATTCCGTGCCTTGAACCAAATATTTCGATTTCTTGTTCTTTGCCTAAAACGATAGAATATTACACATAAAAATACTGTCGCTTAAGTAGATAATTTATTTAGTTCTTCATACTACATGACATGAATATAACTGTCCTAACTGAAACAACAATGTTCATTACCCAGTTTTTTTTCAGAAAGGACATTAAATGTAAAACAACCTTAATCAACTATAAAAAAAGATATTGTAATTATCTTAAATATAATAAAAATATCGGTTCATCTACAGTTTTTTGTAAGTCCATTCTAGAATAATAATACTTGCTGTTTTATGAGGTCAACAATGAGAATAATTGTAATTACCGATAAATCGTGATGACAAACAGAATACTTCATTGGCGAAAAATATTCAGGCGCATTGATTTTTACATGAATAAAAATATTATCTATATATATATGTATATGCATATAGATTTATTTATTTAAAGAAACGAAGGACGACTTATCTTCGCAAATGTTAAGATGTTCAGAATTTGTTTTTATTTTGTATACAATAATTAGATTAGATTAAGTTAGATTTTGTATACTTATTATGATCAACTCATTAAAACTGAATAAATATACAGATTATGTGGCTTTGTCATTTACTCCCGAAAGGCAGCTCACGCCAAGTGTAGCTTTTAATTCTCATCTGATTTAATTACTGTAGCATCGCAATTCAGCAATAGGTATGATTCACTAAACAAATCAAAAGTTTTATCTTTATGCTCTAATAATAAAAATTTGATTATCCATATGTCAATTGTACCATCTGGAATGATTCGAAAACAACAACAATAATATTGATAAACTACAATAAAGTCAAGTAAAAGAAACAAGGGTATTATTATTTCAAAAAAAAATTACCATATCATAAAGTTAATCTAATTTATGACTATAAACATTGATCTTGCTATTTTATCTTGACAAATTACAATTCGTAAACAAAATATTACTAATTCGATTTTATCGTATTTGCTTTCTTTATCTGGGGTGGTAACATATACTTATCGAAAATAAGATGTTAGGTATTTCAAAGAAAATTATTATTACTTGTAGATTACATCACAAAATCTATTGTCGATTATAAACACTACACTTTATTAATGAAGTTAGTATTTCCTATTTCCTACAAACAAAATTCACGATGTTTAGTTTTGTTTTATAATTGAAATAGCATATAAAATTATCTGAGTACTATGATTTATAATCATTATTCAAACGTGGGATCATTATCGATATAACAAATATTGGATAGAAAAGTATATAACAACCGACACATAACCAAATCCTAGAACTTTACATTGACACATCCAAAACTAGTTAGTATAAAATTGTCAATTGAAATCCAATAGTAGTAGTAGTAGTAGTAGTAGTAGTAGAGGTATTAGCAGTAGTCGGAGAGGTTAGGATTAGAAGATATTATTCAAGATGTAGAAACTAGTGAAATAGACTCAAAAAGACAAAGACAAAGTAATCAGGAATTAAAAAGTTTGGGATTTGAGAGAAAACAAAGAATGAATGCACCGGCGCCATTGCAAACGATTTTGAGACATGTCATTCAGGGTCTCTAACCATCGATTACTTTACTAAACATTCCTTAGATGACGTGATACACAATTTCTGCACAGTTAATGAGTTTTCTAGCATTCAATTCTACGTTTTATGGGATTCGATTACATAAAAATTTCAGTTTTCGGAAAATAATATTTAGAAATAACATATTTCCTGTGACCTGTGTCATATAAAAACACTAGATTTTCGATAGTCTGGATCAATTATGATCTAGTTATTTGTTCACATCCAAGAAAAACATCATGTCATTATCTACCGATTTTGAAATGAGCCAATCTGTTTATTCACATGTGTGTTATAAATTTCATTAACGCTTTTATAGGTCACCGCTGAGTAGGTGTAAATAGTGGTTAAATTTTCGTGAACTACTATATTATTTCAGAGTAACTATGACTCTCTTTAGGTAGCCAAATGCCTCGTCATCTAATTGAATGGGTATATTAGGTGACTTGCATAAATTGGGGGTTGTGGTGGCGGCTACCTCTTCGTGGTCCTTCCAGGCAACGTGGCGTTGTTTACAGCGCTGCGGCTAAAAGTCGTTCCGAAAGCTTAGGATACCGTGCCTAGCATGCTCCAGAATAATAGTACGTGTTCATGGTTGCAAGGCTGTGGATGCGGTTAGCCACTCTGGGGGATTTGGACTGAACGTCTGTAAGTCTGAATCCCATCCATCGACGGTAGGTAAATTCCGATGATGGTTTGAGGACTTGTCCTCTATCATTACGTAGTAGCGAATACCTTGAAAGGGATATAGCTTTCTAGGATGATTGAAGGCGGGCCTAGACGTTCTGTTTGGGGAGGCAGCAATAGAGATCCTGAACTGTTGACACCAACCCTATGTGGTTGTCCCGAATACCCTGCATCTCGGTGTATTGTGTAAACTGGCGTTGAGGCCCCTTAACACAAGGGTCTCCAGTTGGGTTATGTGATCCGGTGCTAAAGGGTACTGAACGCCATTGATGTGGGATTAACCCAGCTTGGCCGAGTGCTTGCACTTGGTTGAGTCCATGACATCTTCCTCATTGTAGTGTGTACGTTCCGGCTGACCTTGTGGGACAAACTCGATCTTTAGCTTCATATGGGGTCTGAGGGCTCCGGTCGATTGTAACAGCGCAAGGCAGTTGGAGGCCAGACGGTTGGAAAGGCTGCTGGTTAGTGCACTGCTGAGTGACTCGGTTATACGTTCAGGGTGCCAGGTCTAGCTGGGTAGTCCCGCCTTGCTGCTCATGCCGACTGGGTATTTTGGTTAGTGGATTGGTTGAGGGATCTTGTTGATTCATAAGTGCCCGGACGGGGGCCACTGTTCGTGTGCGTGCTTTTTGGACGTCCGACCTGCTTGCAGACCAAACTGGACAACATGTACGTTCCTGATTGGGGCAGGGGTGATCACAAAACGGCTAAAGTGAGAGTCCTTGTGTTGCCTAAAAAGCAGCGACGTGCATGTGGAGCAGGCTTGTCGGTTAACCAAGACTTATTTCAGGAACTATAAGTATCCTTTAAAACATATTCTGTGATGAAAGTCTTCTATTATATCATCAATGTACGAAAAATATTTTTTTATGTATGGAAACTTTGAATTCATGTCAGTTCAAAACATTGATTTTGCTAGTAAAAACAAAGTTTAGTACGAAAATTATTCATCTTAACAATTGTTGATTTGAAAATGTCTTTCAAACACTATAAATAAGTACTACATTTTTTCGCACATTTTTACAGACACTTTTTACCACAGCAGATGGCAAAACTGTTACAGTAAGTGTTAATTTAATTAACATTTTTCTCTTTCACATTATACATGTATATATACATATGTTCATTGATAAAATAACGATTTTTAAAGATCTGTTGCTTTGCTTACTAAGCATTAATATTACAAACAGAAAGCTACATAACTTTATTTGGTGATTAATGGATTATTCAAACAACTTCTAAAGTTTACTACCTCTAATATCTCGGTACATCTATAGATTCATTTAGACTAATTACAATCTTATATATTGATAGTTATGATTTAGTGGATATTGAATCAGCTGGACAAATAGGATATTAATTATTACCTAGTGATCGTTCAATCGTAAATATTTCACTTCTACATTTCGTAAGCTAGAGACCAAACAACTCAATGGTTTCGTCAATTCTCATGAAGCAAGGCGGCTCGAGTTCCACTAGCAAAGTGATAATCTATCTCTACATTCAAACAACTGGGCTTTATTGATAAGCCCAGGATTTCTTGTCGACTGCCTCTAACCACCTGACACTAGTATTTCTTCAAAAAAGGGCATTTATTCCCAAGTTTCTTTGTTAGTATTAATTCTCTGTATTTGTATTCATATTAAACCTAAATATTAAACACACTAAACAAGTAATGATTTGTACTGTACTAAGTTTGAGAATTCAAGAAACATCATGTGTCCTAATGTCGTAATGATAGTGTATAATATTTTACAAAATAACGGGTATTAGCAAATAGAACAGTTGAATTAATTGTCTTCTGACAAACGTTTACATTACACGATTCAACCTTTCAACATAATACATAACACCTAAATAATCGTTGTCGATTTAGTGATACATTATGACTCACATTGAAAATCTTGAGAATCTATGTTAAATTTAAAAATCTTAGTTACAAACGAATGCTTTCAAAAGGAAGCACCAATTCAAACAATCTTGATATTAAATTTTTCAAACTGTTAATAAATTGACACTTGAAATTAATAAAAAAACCAATTACCACTTTGATGGATTCTCTTTTTGTGGTGTAATTCCTGGATAATTTACAGTTTTGACCTTTATGAATTTTTTAAATATTTATCCTAAGTCTAAATAATCATAAATCTTTGTATGTTTTTTCCAGTTACCAGAAGAAATTCGGTTAAGTTTAAACCAAGGCATCGCTGGACATGTAGCTACAACCGGTAAGTGACTGCAGTTTTACCAGCGTACAAAAGTTCATTTTCTATACAAGATTATCAAGAAGGCAATGTCTTACTTGACTAATTGTACGTATTTAAATTAAAATCAAATAAATTAAAAGTGATCACATCACTCTGTATGATATGAAATTTAAGTAGACTGGTTGTATTAAGGTTAGTAGCAGCATTTAAAAAATCTTTTCCTCTTCATAGTTAACATCTATAATCTAAACAGAAACGTTACATTAAATACGTTTGTGTATATTCGGAAAATTAGTTATTTGATACTAGAAAGTTGAATAGACTATCATTTACATGAATTTCTTATCATATCATGCACACTTTCTCACTATACTAATAGAAAGTAAAAAAATGAAATTTATTAAAAAGTCAGTTGTTTCATCAACAATTGAAATGTTGTTTGGGCTAAGGAATATTGTGACTGGTTATTTACCTAGACAGACTAGTAGATAGTCTGACAGGTATTTGAGGTGACACACAAATTGCCTGCCGTTTGTTTCGTCATATGAATTGTCGGGTATTGTTTGTCGACCGATACACTTTGTGGTCAGGCTAATTTGAGTTGTGTTTAGGTCTAATAGAAAAGTGCTTGCTGCGTATTTAGTGCACATTGAAAATACCGTAGTTATGACAGAATGAATATAAAAGAATGTCAAAATAATTTAATTAACCAACTCGTTCAGACAGTAACAAAATTTCCATCCAAGTTGTGTAGTACGCACGTTAAAAAAATATACGTTGAATTCACCGTACAAATAACTATGTATGCATACGACCATTTATAAATACTGAAGTACTTTTGTGTAGTTTCGTGTAGAGCTTTGTCAAAATTTCACACTACTGTAAAAATCATTTATAATATATAAATGATAAACTCTTGGTTAAATAGTTAGATTTCTACATTTCTGAATTGTACACTTTATGTGTTAGTTTAGTCGCAGGTATCATTTTGTATTTATTTTATTTTGATATTTAGGTGAATTGTTAAACATAAAAGATGCCTATGCTCATCCACTTTTTTATCGTGGTGTTGATAAAGAAACTGGGTTTCGTACACGGTCAGTTTATAAAGTTTTCTATGAAAAAAGTTAACTTTTTTGAAACTTGAAATTAAAAATTTTTAGACGAAAAATCTACCATAGAAAATAACTGAAAAAAGCCGACGTCGATAATCATCTGTAACAATTAATATCACACTGAATTTTATCTACATATTTATGATATGCATTAATCATGAAGATGAAACATCACAGTTAAACAACAGTCTATTCGGTCTCAATCCGTAACTAAAACACAAAATCACCATACCCAGTAAAGTAACTAAATGTAAATCCAAGTGTCTTAGATATCATTATAAGCGTTCGGAGATTCGGTATCTCGACAATCACCCAGTCAAGTTCACTGGATTATTTTAATTGTTCTGTTTCTAAAGAATAAAAATATTTTAATTTATCCCTTGTTTAAATTATGTTTTAAATTATGTTTCATAATAATTGGCATACATTTGTTGATCAAAAAGCCATAATAAATGTCTACTGGTTTATGAAGTTGATATGAATCAGTCACATGGTAACTAATCAATCATTTGTCCATATACAAATCCTCTTACCTTACTTGACTTTATTCATTTTATCTTTGGAATCATACTGTATTAAAAGTGACTGTCATGAAAAATTAGTAGTTTATTAGTTATTTGTAAAGCAACCAATTTAAAATTTCATCTAAATGAAATATGTACAAAATTAGACTTTTAACCGCTAAAATTAAACTGAAAATTGCTCCATAAGCAGTGAGAAACCAATAAATACAATACTTTATTCATTTTCAGAATTACTTTTAAGGAAATAAAAATAATTTAAAACTTGTTGTAGGAAAATGAACTACAGTCACATATGAAAGCTCAATAACATTTAGGTTGATTGTAAAGAAGTGTTAAATATTCTGATCAATAATACAATCTAACTAGACACTGACTATTATGTCCTACTTTTACAGAGGAAATCAAGTAGTTTTGAAAATAAGATATTGGATTGAAACAAAATCCTCTTGGTCGAAATAAATTCTAGTTAGTGGTTATATATATTTAGTATTTAAGACGTTTCTATCTATAAAATGAGAAAAAGTTTATTTTAAAATAAAAATACCCTAACTTTTGAAGTAAACTTCTTTTACCCGTAATTTGAACTGATGATTTCGAGCACAGTTTATTGAAAAATGAACGTAATCATATGACTAACTAATCATAACAAACATATTATTTTATTTAGAAACATATTGTGTTTTCCAATAAAAAATGAAAAAGATGGTATTGTCGGAGTCGCACAATTATGTAACAAAATCAATCATCCATTTTTTACAAAAGCTGATGAAGATGTAGCCAAAACATTTTCAATTTACTGTTGTATAAGTATAGTCCATGTAAGTATAGACTAAATCTATAAGTATATTTAAATGTATTCATGCAATTATTTTCAAACTTAGTAGCAATTATATAAGAGAGTGAATGTGCTTGTAATGATTATTTATACATTGACAGAATTCTCAGATAAGACTGACTAATTTTGTTTAATGCAACAGGAAAATTCGGGGGACTATATCCCAGTGTAAACCATAGTACAATTAAGGTTGTCTAGTCAAACTGCCAACCGACTTGAATAATTTTTATGATTAATATGTAAAATATGAGTTGAAACTTATTCCTCACGGAAACTTCTAGAGAATATATACTGTTGCTAAAATCTACCGATCTCGTCTCATATAAATAAACAATTGATTTTATTCAATATGATCAGCTATTCGACTTTCATGTTACATATGAGTAGAAAGAAAACATTCAGGATGATTAGGATAATTTTGCTTTTTTGGAAAATCAATAATGGATGAAAGTGTTGAAGTCAGTACTGAAAAATGAAAGTCCTTCAATAAATACAGACGTAATTATGGCAGTAAAACATCTTTACGTTTTGTTAAGAAACAGTATTAAATTTTTTAATATAAATCCTCTTATTTACGAGGATTAAACGACTTAATAGATCCTATAAAACTGAAGCTTATTTTTTTTACATCAAAGGAGACATAACATAGTAATAATGGTATGATGAACGAAATCAAAATTGTATTAGGCATAAATTATAAAGTACTGAAGAGTTTTCTCTACAACATTTATTTCTGAACACGTGTTGATTATTTTTCAGTCATTAATGTATAAAAATGTTCAAGATGCACAACATCGTACTAAATTGGCAAATGAGCTTATGATGTATCATATGAAAGTAAGTATAAAATTGTATCAGGTATTTTGTTTGACACAGTTTTTTAAAACAAAATTTACATATCATTTAAAGAGAATAATATGTTTCTCCCTAATTTATTTGTAAATGTTACAATAGAGTAAAGTATTAAGATGCCAGCTTACTGTTGGGAACGTTAGATCCCCAGAACTCGCTTAATAAATGCCTTGTTTTGGATTTCACGATTGCGAGCATGGGCTGGTCAGTTGACCTTGAGACTGCATTTCCCACCAGGAAAATCCTTGATTGGCTGCTATGTATTTTGGTGTGCTATTTTTGTGACTGTCACAAGGTTGTTTCTATGATGTATAAATAAACGAGATTTGTCTGCTCGATTGCATTGTGCTTGCTGAGTGTTTGTAGAATATACTTTCTACGCTTATCAAGACTTCTCTTTAGGCGTTCGGATCAAGGTAGCCTACCTGGATGCTGATTCGTTGTCTCGTTCACGTCTATCGACTAAAATGAACCCGTATTAGTTTCAAGCATACCTAGTGACGAACCTAACATTTACCTGTAATCACAAGTGATTATTAGTGAATAAAGTGATGAAATTCATTGTACTTTAGTTGACTAGTTTACTGAAAAGTGAAGCTGAATTTATATTACCGCTGTTTAAATCAGTTTGTTTTAAAAACAACGTTATTAATTAACCAAATATTAATTCCTATTTAACTATTAGCCTTAATTAATTTTTTTTAAATCTTCGTTCAAAACTCACTTGCTATTGATGCCAACAGTATAACGAAATTAAATTTTTCCCTTTTATCAGATTTCACAGCTAAGTATTCAAATTTTAATAGGATGTTCCAACTATGTAGGGAATTATAACTCAAGTTATTGTGTTTGTACGAAATCGGAACTTCATTTTTTGTTGTTGCGATAGTTTGACAGACTTTTGTGAGTTTGCCTAGATTTGATCCGCTTGATATTTTTATGAATCAAAAACAAAATGATTCTAGACAATAAAATGAATGTGTTGCATCTTAACCTGCGTTATTGAGTTCTCACTAAAATCAAATGGTAGACTGAAATCAAAGAACTTAATATCACAAAATAAATGTAAGTCTATTCAACGCGAATTTTACGTTTCATTAACTGAAAAATTTCCTAGTATTCAGAGAGAGATTAAAACAACCAGATTACTAATTTGGTTTTGGAAGTGTAGTCAAGTAATTGAATCTATAAACTTATGCATAAATGTAACCTAATAGACGTCACTTAACTTCTTCCTTAAATTGTAGTAAATATGAGTAATGATGAGACTCATGTACTCAAAAGTTTAACAAAGAACCGCTTGCTTTCATAAAGTAATACAAATGTAAATGACACACCTTAGAAAAAGAGGTCAAATTAGTTACCATGACAATTTTCAATAATAGGAATTTCTATGCATTCGAAATGATATGTTGCTTGTATATTTCACATCTAACTGGATGACAATATCAGAAATGTAGTTCAAACAATCTTCAAACAATATTTTGATGAAAATACCTAAGTTTTCATTTTAAGTCAAATGTTTTGTTCTCAACTGAATAAAATAATACAATTACAAATCGGTTTTTTAATTGACTATTCAGATAGTTTGTTTTCACTAGTTCATGTTACCTTAACAAAAAACACTTATACACCTACGTATTAATTTTCAATGAAATAATAATCGTTAATGGAGTCCAGATAGTTTTTTCATCTCCTCTTAGCATTTTCGAATATGGTATCTTTGTGTTAACTAAGAAAACTTCCATCTGAAATTGTTATCGTAGTTTGATAGACCAGACTGAAAGAAAAAACTTACGCGTAAATACGTTGAAGTAATCTGAGAAACACAAATTACTTATCGATAACCTAGGATTGCTGTTCCGTTGAGAACAAATACATAAATACATTAGTAATCTGTGAAATAACTCTTTTTCACCTTAAGTAGATTTAGTCTTAATCTGCATGTGTATTAATAAAAACTTCATTTCTGCAATTTCCAAATACAATAGATAGTTTCTATTGAACACTGTAGAAAAAAGTTGTTTTTGTATCCTAGAATTTAATGTAAGTCATATCCGAAAAAATGTTGTATATCAGTAGCATCTAGCTAGAGTATAAAGCGTTCTTAATAAATTTATATCGTCGATAAACGGTCAAATTTAAAGAAAACCCTATTTTTTCTTAAAATAAAAGTGCGTCATTTTATTAGTTCGCGTGTAATTTTACATCATACGATTCGTAACTATTAGCTTCATATTTTATTTACTACACCACCATAGTTGAGGAATGAAATAATTTAAAAATCTGTAACATGATTTTATTTTCTTATTATACAACTAGGTGGATGAAGACAAAAAAAATTGGTTATCTACTTGTGAAATTAAAGATATCAATTCATTCTTACCGAATGCCAACTCTTTTGAATCTTTACCAAGAAATATTCAGCTGGAAAATGAAACTTATCTTGTAAGTGTTTCACATTGTGAAAAAAATGTATTAATTCTATGAACATTTACTTTGATACTTTGAATAGTTTGACTATTAATGACAAATAAAACCTAGATGTATTTAACATATTGTTGAACTGCTGTATACTTGTAAAGAAATACTTCAACTATTTGCCCGTGAAATCCTATTGCATATATTAACAGTTTCAAATTATTCGCAAATTTATTATTAGCGTTTAATTTTCTCAATATTCACATTAAGTAGTGCTTCTGTTTTCATACAACTAGTTTCCAAACAATGGATAGTATAAATTATTCATAATATCTTCATTAACATAAACACAGGAAACTAATTTCTGTTGAATGTTTAGCCGTATTCAACTATTATTAATAAAAAAAATGAATCTTACGTGAATATTTTAATATTTTTTTAGGTAAAATTTCACAGCAACTTACAGTTCATTTGTGTGTACTTTAATTTATGCAATGATTTCAAATAAAACTCTTTATTATAGATGATACCATTACATACTTTATTCGAGTCATAAATAAACCAGACGACCGTCTTATCTTGTGACATACATTCTCACAGTATTCTACCAAATGGATTAACCTTATATTTTAAGTAGTCTTATCATAGTGTGAATGATCATGATTGCCCAAATGAAAAACACTTGGCTTTGTGTATAGTATAGTATTTTCTTTACAAAGATTTATTGCGCATAGACCTAATAGCCAGAGATGCGTAATAAGACTATAAATTAACTACTTCTGTTTGTATATATAAATTTAGAAAGTGGAAAAACACTTACCGTTGCAAAGAGAAAACTACCACTTTTAACAACCATTCATATAAGGTGAATTATAAGTACCAATACATAAGAATGTATTGAACCTGTAAATACATAACTGTGAGTGATAAAACACCACAGAATTGGTGTTTACTTACAGCTGATAGTGGAGCTACTATTATCATAATTTGCTTAGTTGATATTAACTAACAATTCAACTTCTCATCAATTTTGTTTTAAATGAAATACGGTGGATTTCGTATGTTCATATTATTCATAATTTCATTAAATCTATGAAAAAACTAGTGGGCTTTAATCTGTTAATTTCTAGTTATACATCATTTGTGAAAGTAATTAGAAATTTAGGCCTACACATTTACACTTCATTTAATACAATTAATTCTGATTATGTTTTTAGCAAAACTAATTGTGGTTGTTACTTTAATAGTGGGCAAGTGTAGGACATTAAATACTCCATGCGACTCCATGATTATTCTACTAGACGTAATTAGTAATTAAATAAATGAATTCCAGTTGAATAATTTAAAAATGTGTTGAAACCCTAATGTTATGACTGACACTAGAATTAAACTAAATTTTATTAAAGAGTTTAAAAAAAAAGGGAACGAAATGTACATTCTGACTTTTACTGCTATATACTATGTAAAATAAAATCATATTTCACTTTGTTCTGTTTATTTTTTTTAAAAAACAACTCAATTCAACTTGAGTACTCTAAAAAAAATCATGATAATAGTATTTATGATTAATGAATACTCCTGTGATTATGATAAACTGTAATCAGTATAAAAGTTCACATTTCAAGTACACTTCTCAAAAAAACTGTTCGTCATATAGTTGTGGCAAATAATGTTCACCACTTAAAATTTAACTGAAACTGCCAATAAATATGTGAATGATCAGTTTAAAAATAGAAATATCTCAGGAGAGAAAATTTAAACATTTTGAAACAGCTGTTCTTTAAAATGAAGTACAATATTTTAAGTGTGTACATTGTGAAGAACACTCCACTTAGTGATATTTACTTACTTAGTTTTTGCGACTAAAGTGTACACATAGAAGAGGAGAATATATATGAATGAGAAAAAGCTTAAATAATTTAAAAGTCAATTTGTAGAGACAATCGATGGGATAAACTGAGAAAAAATTAAATCGTCTTAAATAATAAATGTCTGTTTTTATGTAAAATACATCTAAAATCTAATATGCGTAATCTGCTTAGATGTTAATGAAAATCTGAACACACTTATGATCAAATTATTTTAGCTTGAAATAAAAGAAGTATATGAAACCTTAATTGATGTAGAAAATATTCACCACCGTTTAGAAATCGATAGTGATTTATAAAGGTGCACATTTGTACACTGTTTGGGATGTTAGATTTCCAGAACTCGCTTGATAAATATCTTTATTTTGGATCTTATCCATGGGCTGATCAGCTGACCCTGAAATCACATTTCCCACCAGGAAAATCCTTGACTGTGATTGGTTACTGTGTCATTTTAGTGTGCTATTTTGTGACTCTCCCAAGGATGTCTCTATGGTGTATAAATAAACGCGATTTGTGTGCTTGGATTCATTGTATGCTGGCTAGGTGCTTGTAGAATACACTTCCTACACTATATCAAGATTTCTTGCTAGTACATTTGGGTCAACAGACCACAGTAGCCTACCTGGACGCTGGTTCATTTTTTTGTTATTCGACTAAAGTGAACCTGTGATAGTTTTAAGCATACCTAGAGACAAGTGTAACATAAATAAAGAATAAAAAGTATTTGTAATTTTCTGTAAATTTGTACATATTTTGACATAGAAACTCAACTTGGCAAATAGAGAGCAATTTTGTTTGTTCCTCTTGACCTGTGAATAAATGAGTGAATGGCCATTGAATTATTTTTTATTTCAATATTTCAAGTTTGTGAATTACAGTATTAGATAGAAATGCTCATTTAAACTCCGAGTGATCTTAAAAATGTCCCAGGTAGACATAAAACTATTTTATTGTTTTGATATTAATGTTCATTGTTAACTTTAAGATAAGGATTTTCGCTCTTTTAATTTTTCAAAATATTATTTCTGACTTAGTATAATAATGTAGCTTTTTTTAACGACTCATACGTATTAGATGTTCTCGACAAATTATTACGCTTAAAGTCTTATACAAACCTCATAGAAATTGCATTAGCAGTTTATTGTTCCTGTGTTATCATAGTTTCACATCAGATTATGTTATTGATTAACAATAACATGACAGATTGTTTTTAGCTTAAAATTACAGTAACTAGTCTCAATCAGATTAGATTCAACAGGCTTAATTAGTTTTTTTCATCATATTGTAAATTCATCACATTGTACAACTATCTTACTTGTTCAGATTGACGTTTGGATATAGAAATTTTAATTAAAAGCACTAACTCGTTCAATAGAAAAGAAATAATTAATTAAGCTGTATTCTAATGTTTTCACTTCATTAACATTGTTTGTGTACAAAATTACATTAAGGAATTCAATATATTCTTCGCATAAAATGTATTCACGAATACGATTTAGTGCATAACAAGTAAGCAAGTCATCGAATTAAATCAATGCAAATCTATATCATTTATACTTGTTCACTATGTGGAACAATCGATCAGTCGAATGTGAATAAAGAAATATGATTAGTTGTTTTGACAAAAAAAGCTTGTAATGCTAGTGATTCACTTATTATTAGATATTACCAATTTATAGAACTATTGCTTAAAAACATTTTCATTTACTTACAAAAAAAGACAAATAAATTGCATTTTATAAATTTCACATTTATTTTCCATTATATATACATATACATATTATACAGTGCACATTAAGCATGTTTCATAATTTGAATTTAATCAATCGTTGGCGTATTTCACGGCGAACATTAGCTCAATTCATTTTGATGGTACGTCGTGGCTATCGTACTCCAGCGTATCATAATTGGATGCATGCATTTTCTGTGGCACATTTTATTTATGTTTGTATCAAAAATTTGCCATTAGCTAATAATCAATTGGATGATATTGAAATATTGGCATTGTTTGTCGCGTCATTATGTCATGATATTGATCATCGTGGAACAAACAACAGTTTTCAGGTACTTGTAGTTGTAATTGATTATTGTCGTTTGATTTTGATTTTAAACTTAAAATGGATATTGTTTCTATTAGTCATTTCCTAGAAAGTAATTTCGTCTTTCATTTTCAAACTATAAACACTGATTTCTTATCATTTTAATAATTACCTTACTATTATATTTTGTTTATTTTCTGCTGATCTCAAAACTTTGACGAACACTTGTGAAGTAAATGAAACTGAATTATCTGTGATAAATATTTCCATTCGTAATCAGTTTTTCTGTTACTGAGTAGCGTGTTATACTTATAAACTGGTTATATTTATCCTATGAAAACCAAGCAGTCGTTGATCGACTGAAAAGCCGGCATTGTTTACTTTGAAGTTGCTTACAGGATTCAAAGAAAAACAATTCTAAAGTCGATTCTCCCAACATCATTCGAAATTCATGGCTCGTAAAAACGAACCTTTTAACTGTAAATCAGACAATTTAAACTTCACTTTATTTGATATAAAACTTATATAACGCAGTAGAGATTTGGATGTAGACTATTCAGTTATTTTTGAAATATTTTCATAAGCTAATCAGTTTACTGAAGTAACTAAATATCTAAAATGCAAGTAAATCTCATAACTGCTTTTCTTGTGACTTACTATGGTTATCAGTAAGTAAATTTAGAATTAAATTTGTTAAAATTATCGTAAGTATTGTTGGAATTTGTTGAAGAATGAATAACAATTCTATAACAAGTGCTAAACTATTCACGATAGGGTCAAATAGTTAGGAAATTAGTGTCACATTTGTATAATCCTTAGTTAGTTGTATAAAAGTTTATCGTGCCCATAATATGAAACAAATATATTGTTGTCGACTTCGAAAAAATTGAATTGTCAATTCTTCTCAAGTGTCATAGTATATTTGTAATGCAACATTGTTTTGTCAAATCTACTTAGCCTTCATTCCTTTTTAGAAAATATCAATTTACTAAAAGAATTTATTAAATTTTATTTGAGCACTCTTGAGAATTGATCGAGATACTCGTTGTTATGTAAAGAATATATCCAACAAGTAATCAGATAGTATAGTTAGAAGAAATTCAAGACAGCTATCTTATTTTATCTTTCTACAAGAGGCTATTAATAAACTTGAGCTTTATATGTCAGGATAAAACTTAGTAGGCGATTTAACTGATTAAATTAACACTATTCTTCACCTCTCTTCCAGGATATATATATATATATATATATATATATATATATATTTAGCTTTAACCTACTTCCCACGTGAAAGGGTTTAAATCAAACTGATTCAGTTATTCTCATCAATACCAGTAAACTTTCCATTTTACTATCAACCTGTAATTCCTACCTTTTATTGGTAGTAATTAATTGTTATTATAGACTAATACACATGCACATAAATATTAACGCGTAACGATGTAAAAACTAAGGAAGACTTTATTGATAACAAAATGAGTTATTTAGCTAAAGCTTCTTCCTGTTATCGAAGCCTATATGAACGGCCTTTTGTTGAATTAGGAGTGATCTACTAGTTTGATCCTGTTAGAAATCAGCTATAGTTTTAACCTGTTTAAATATTTTGGAACTATTGATTTAAAACTATAGACAGAAAGAGGTTACTTTTCTGTCTACATTAATTATCAAGAAAAAGGTATCTTGTTTGGTTACTTTTTCGAAAACTCACTTTAGTGATGGACAACCTGTTGCATATATATCTCTCTTAAGGTTAATGATAATACGTTCTAAAGAAGTCATGATTTCTGTTTCAAAACTGTCGTTATTATGCAAGAAAAGACTAATTTTAAATTTTTTAGTTGAAGTATTTTATTTTACAACATTTGTAAATTGTATTCTTTCAATGAATGGTTTGTGCTACTTATTTAGAATTTATTTATCACTTAACTACTAATCAGTGTTAAAAACCGCGGTTAGTCTTCCTGATCTACTATTTATGTAAACAAAGATCTACATTCTCTGTTCTTTTCATTTGACTTCATCCGTTGAGCTGCATTAATTTATTCAGTTCAGAAAATTATCAAAATACTAAAGCACGTTAGCTGTGCTCAATATCTATGATGTTCTTTTGTTTCAATTGTCTTATAGGTACAATCTAAATCTGTATTGGCTGCATTATATAGTTCAGAAGGTTCCGTTTTGGAAAGGCATCATTTTTCTCAGACTATTTGTGTATTAAATACAGATGGATGTAATGTTTTTGAAAATGTTTCAAAAGAGGTGAGTCAAGATTCTGTATTCTCTTCAACGTTAACTTTGATTTCCCAGAAAAGGTCATCGTTCGATTTTGTTTATTTAAGACTGAATGTCGTAGTTAGCTAGGGCTCTATACTGTTTAATAACTCTGATACAATAATGAAACGATCTCTTGCATTTCTGTAAAAAAAAAAGTGATGCACAGTAGGAAGTTTAGGGTAGTTCTACTGATAACGAGTTATTTTTGTCTACACACCATTTATACCTGGCAAGGCAATGGACAAGCATCAACAAACGGGTTACACACAGGCGGTTTATGAAAATGATGCTCAGTTAGTTGAATATAATTGAACACTGATAGTCCGAGCTAAATATGATTGCATCTAATGGGTTAATACTGAAGTGAGACTAAATGTACAACCCGTGTAAGATCAATTACTATTTCAAATAAAAAAGTTTTCCTTATCATGAAATGTTTGTTGGACAACCCAGCAATAAAATCCTTTGAAACATAGATTAAATTTATGAATAGGTATGAATAGGTTTTATTCTAATTAAACCATAAAATGTTTAGCGCCCCTAATATTATTTAGAATAACATATTTTCAGTTTGGTTTATTCATTAGACCAGACATTATTGGTATTTTATAATCAACTGTATGTTGTCATTTATAAAATGTTTTATTTTTGCACAAACAAAGAATACCATAACAATACTAATATAAGCATTCCATGGGGCTTATTCTGACAAGTAATCTTATGTCTATCTAGTTTTATAATAATATGGGCATTGACTGCCAAGCGCTTTTTTCACACCCTTTGCAAAACAGTAAAATATAAAATTATTTTTTTGGAATGTTATGTGCACTTTTTCATTTCTTTTTTTTTTTATATTCCAAAAAAATCCATACAAAATCTTGAAATGCTTAATCTGTAAGGAAAGATTTGTCTTTGTGTTTTTCAAAACAGTTGTTAGCTTAAACTTTTATAGTTAATATAAAAACTCACAAGATACAAATGTTTTTTTGAAAAAATAATACAAGATATTTTTTTTCTGTCGTTGAAGTCTAAGTTTTAGGATTTTGTTTTATTGTGTAGATTTCCATTTTCATATCTTCCAAAACAATGAATTCACTCTTTTTTCTATGCTTAATTATTCAATACTCAAAAACATAACAAAATTAGTAAAATTTTACTCTTTTCACGGTTAAAGTATAAATTTGATTATTACTCTGTTGGAAATGAAATTTATTTTCAATAAAATATGTCATTTTTGGAAACAATTGCCTTCTCTCAGTTTTGAATACCCTGAGTTTTTTTCAACGTCAGTTTTATTGACTTCTAGCTAAATTTTCAAAAATAGAGAAAAAGCTGAAAATAATAATGATTATCGAATTACTGATATATTGACAGCATAGCATATGATGTATGATATATTTTGTTGATAATTTTTGTTTGAAATCTATCAGTAACTACCGAAGACTGTGTATGAGGTTGCGCAACTCCGTGAATTGATCAAGTTAGACATTAACACCGTTAGATACCGGCTCAGTGGTCCGATGGTTAGGCGTTCGCTTACAATACCGAAGGTCCTGGGTCCGAATCCTGCGGGGTGCAGGAGTCGTGGATGCGCACTGCTGAGGAGTCCCATACCAGGACGAAACGGCCGTCCAGTGCTTCCAGGTTTCTAACGGTGATCTAACATTGATCGATTCATGGTTTTAAAAAAAAACTTAACAATCTTCACAACCCCGTAATGAAATCTAACCTCTAAAATGAACGAAAGTGATTCGGAGTGGAAAAGCGATAAAACTTTATTTAATGGATTTGCATATATATAAATGCATGTCTTCGTGTTAAGGCCTAAGTGATGAAAAAGACATTTACTACTCACATTTTTGAACAGATTAAAAATATGACTAAGTAATAAATTTTGAAAGTATATCAGTATTTAGTAAACGTGTAAAAGATAAAAATTACTTGTATTCATGGGTCCTAGTGAAAAGTTTTTGTCACCAAATCTACATCGTGAGAGAATTGTTTAGACGTGACACTAAGTTTTACATTTTAGTAAATACCAGATATTCCTAAATTTGTGACAGCACTATATGGAATAATCCGTTGGAGAGGAACGGCGTTGGGCGATGATGACTAATCGCTTGCATTCCTGAATAATGACAGGTTGAAATTACTAGAGCTTACGATACCCTCAGAGATGGTGAGCAACTTAGTAGCCATATAAATCCATTAGATCGGTGGATAATTTAATTTAATTTAAAATCATAACTGTGATCCAGATGCATCCACCTGACTGCAGAAAATGCAAGACTTCAACTCCACTGCTAACTAAATCTCATTTGCGTTTGTTTTGAAAATAATTTTCGAAATTTTTTTATCATGGTCTACCTCTCAAAACATTTTGCAATACTTTGACATAATATTTTCCTTTAAACTTAAATCACTAGGATTATGGTCAGTTGTTGGATCATATTCGTGACATAATTTTAGCAACTGATTTGTCACATCATCTCAGGATAATGTCGAAATTGGAAGAATTATCTCATCGAGGATATGATAAAACTAAAGCAGAAGATCATTATCTTCTTTTATGTCTCTTAATGACTTCAGCTGACTTGAGTGATCAAACCAAAACCTGGAACAATACAGTTTATGTCGCGAAATTGATTTATGAAGAATTTTTTCAACAAGGTGATATGGAAAAATCATTAGGACACAATCCAGTTGATAGTATGGATAGAGAACGAGCATGTGTTCCACATTTACAAATTTCTTTCTTGGATTACATAATTACACCACTGTACAAGTAGGTTTATTCACTTTTTAGCAATATAGTCTATTACCCAATGAGCGTTATACTTTATTTTCCCTCAAGTATATCAAATACTAGTTTGTTTATGATTTTTCAAAGTAATCACCACTTTGATTACTACATAGTCCTGAGGTAGTTTCTTAAATATTATATCATATTTTAGTCACTGATGCTCAAGTGTGTCATACTTTAGGATTTAACTAGCATACTGAGTGACTAGGCCCCATGTGACTTAAAAAGGAGTGATGAATATCCTTAAAATGTACATAAAATAGTGTTTTCACTAAACTATCATCTATTATTAAGTGAACGAAGCTAGGTCATAGAGATCAGATTGAATATAGCTGATAGGGTTTTCTGTACAATGCAACTTGTTGAGTATTTAGTTGTGTCTAACATTATCAACAATAATACCTTTATGCACGTATCCACTAAAAACACGTGTACAACTGTTCATAAGCAATCAATAGTGACATGTTCTAAAACCAACCCCATTTACTCCACCATGCGGCTGCAATTCAGGTTTAATGAAAACGAATTTCTTGAGTCTTTCAAAACATACTCATTAACTTTTTGGATTACTTCGATTTCATCAGTCTCCTACATGAGTAATATGCTGTTTTGAAGGTATTTCGCTTATATCGACTCAATTAATCGTTCTCACTCTTATTGTATTGATAGCTTCAACAGGAAACATGTATATTTGATACAGTGCAAACAAAAATACATACAGTTTGATTGTAATAACTTCCTGTGATTAGCTAGCCTTTTGATGTCTAGATAGTATGAAATTTTTTCCCTTCACTTAAAAGAATATAAATGATCACATTTACGGAATTTTAGGCGTGAAAGAAACGAACAAAAATTGATGCTTTTTTATTCAAGTAAATGCAGTAATATTTTGATAAAATCATATATATTTCTATTAGAGATGAACATTTGATGTACCTAAACATCTTTCATTTATTTACAAAAAAATTGTGATAATAACTTGCTTGTTTTTTATTTTACATATTTTTTCATAACTATAGGGTGCTGAACAATTTATATCCACAATGTTCAAGTATATTAGATACTATAGAGAAAAATCGTGACAACTGGAAGATAATTTTGGAACTTGTTGAAAAAGGCAATATTAAAGGGAATGGTTCAGAGATATTCAATCATAATCTGATTGAAATACTAACTGAACTACAAACAAAATCATTGGTCAAATCTCCGAAATCAATCTCTTTATCACCACCATCCATTGTACAACCAATTTCATCATCTCTGTCATCCTCCTCATCATTATCATCATCATCAAAACCAGATTTATAAAGAAAACAAAAAAAAAATTAGCTATTTTATGTGATGAAAATAATTTTAATTTGAAAAATTAAAAACAAAACAAAAACTATTTCTCACTTTATTTCTTTCTTTGTGCAGATTATCAACAACAAACAAAACATCATTTCATTATTTAATTTGATAAACATGTTGTTTATTCGAGCATAGGTGTACATAAAAATCAATTGATTGCGAATAGAATTATTATTAAAAAGGCAAATTTTTATTTGTAAATTTTTCAATAAATAAAACGAAATACAATGCCTCAATTTTAAATAGACAACAGTCTGCTGTGAATTTCTCTCTTGGGGGAAAAAATAAATTCAGTAGTGGTATCATTATCAGTTCGAAAACCAAAAAAAAGATACTCATGAAATAATAATGAAAGTTGATTTCTAACGTGTATTTAATGTGAAGTATGTCTAAATTGTAATTTGTGTAAAAGTTTATGTCTTTAAACTATGTTGTATGGTCTCAGCAGTCTTAGCAGGCACAAAAAGGAGTCGGTTTGATTGACAGTCTACAGTCGAATATGTCAGAGGCTTTTGTTGCAGCGATTAGCAGAATAATTGTCAAATTAAAACTGACGTAATGATAAAATGTAAGTCACTTGCATCAACAGAACATAAGAAGAAAAGCGAATAGTATGTTGAATTTACGCTGACTTATTGTACTTCATCTCATTTACTTAAATGGTTCGAGTTTATTGGTATTTGTATTATGGGGTTGTAGAGCTTGTTTTGTTACTACTTATTGAAATCGTGAATCGGTCAATGTCAGACAACCATTAGAGACGTGGAAGCGTCGGACGGCCTTTTCAACTTGGTTTGGGACTCATCAGCAGTCTGGCAATAATTGATTCATGACTTCAAAAGTAACTCAACAAGCTCCACAACCATATAATGCTATTTATCATCTGCTCACTAGTGACTGGCTCTGTGAGGATGTTTATTCGAGTTCTAGTGAGAAGTAGCCAGTGGAGTTCAACTCTGTTCGGGTGTAAAGCAGTGCTCACTGAAAACCACTGTGTGAGATTGCGTAAGACCTTGAACTAATCGAAGTTAGACATTGACATCGTTAGATATCTGCTGAGTGGTCCAGAGGTTATTCATATTTGCAAGCCACAGACTGTTAAACTTACTTTATAATAAACAAGACCAATTTGTGAGGATCCGATTCAGCCAAGTCGATTATGTATCCTGTTTGTACACAATATCTTGTCTCATCTGTTCTTAGCTTCTCTCGGAATAATAAAAAGCCTTATTCCAACTATAGGTTTGTGTTGGAAAAATATGTTTTCATTTAATATTTTGTAGAGATACAGTGTTTTTCAAAAATAATTTTTGTCATAAATATAAATCAATTGTAAGATTTGTGGAAATCACAAGAAATGTGACTGCTGTTCCATCATAGCTAGAGATTCTTTTATTGTCTCCCCCCACAACATGACATTTGGAACCTTTGTTATTTGTATAAGCACACACTAAAATAAGTCGCGATCTAGCGGGTTCATATTTTATACTTCTGAATTAGTGTTTATATATATATATATATATATATATATATATATATATATATATAGCTTAAGCAACCAACGATAACACTTAAGCCGTTCAGTTAGAGTGAATGGTTCCCGATAATAACCGCATAAATGCTCTTGACTTCTTAATGACTGTTGTGTTTCAAACATTAACATTGACATAAACTGTCCTCCTCTTTGAATTCAGTCATATATGTAGATGAATTAAAATTGAGTAAGAAAAGATATGCTTCGCCGGACTCAAGTTATATTACTAAATATCAATGTTCTGTATTAATCAGTAACATGACATTGGGTTCAAGCTTTCGACAAAATACAATCATCACAGCATTTATTCTGGAAACAGTTGCTAACATTAAAAAAATTGATAAAGATCGATTTTTCCATGTTATTCTTTCGACAATGTCCTAACATTTTCTTTCTAATTATTATTGATTTATATGACCTTAATCTATTATCTGATTATTTAGTTATGATGTTCAAAAAATAAGATGGAATAACCTTTACTGAAAGTTGGATGGCCATTTTAGAAATCATTTTTTTTTCAAATCTATGACGAGCTGTTCACAATTATTTTGACTGCACATTGTTTGAATATTGATTAGTATCAACCTGTGATGGATAGGCATGCATTATGAAGATAAATTATCAGTCATTTATTTCGCCATCAGCATTTCAACGGAATCTGACTGGTTTAAAAAAATACACTTATTAATAAATTATTTTTCATTTTAGTAGATTCCTTATGATATTTTACGAGTAAAAGTTTAGGCTAATGAAGAAACGAGGGTGATAGAGATTAGAACGTATATGTCGTATTATGTAAAGTAATATGCCTTCAGAATATATGTATTGGTATTGCAATATATTTTATTAATCAGTAAGATGAATTTATTTGAATAAAACTATCAGTCACGTAAAATTACAAGAAAACGAAGAAGTTTTACTTATAGCACGAATGAATGCTCCATCCATGAATCGATCTGAAAAAAAAATTAAGAAATAAAAAAGCCGGAAAATTATCAAGTAAAAGTGATTGAATCACAAACATGAAGTGTGTTGTGAAATATTTAATTTTGATCGTCCTAGCTCAAAAATACATTAGATCAAAATAGTCGGATGCACTCTCTTCGGAAAAATGTACTTGTATTCAAAACTAATGCTATGAATGCAACTTTAATATGACTTAGACGAACAAATAAGAATCACAAAACAGATTACAGATTGAATGTACCATTTCTATTTATTTATGTATTGTGAGTTTTATAGAAATGGATCTAAAATCGGACAAACGACAGACGAACTCATTAAAATCAAGTAAAGTTTAAAATATTTCGAACAGCCTATTTCAGTGTTCAATAAAAAATCAGGGATGAGTTGAACGATTGAAAAATTATGACTTTAAAATAAAAAGAAACCCCATTCATCATATTTTGATAATTTTAATTAAATTTCAATGCTTCAATGAGTTCAAATTCTTGATTATGATTATGAAATTCTTTTTCAACCAACCTAACTATAGTTTGTTGAATCTTAAGACAACTGAATAACAGTCGTTTCAAGTAGATGTGATAAAACAGTAAAAAATAAACCTTTAATCGTTTGAGACAGTTAAACTAGCTTTTTTCAAGTATGCGTTAGTTACTTGTTCAAGTACATAAAACACTCATATGTTAAGTTTCTTATGATTTTTGTTCTTTATGAAATCATGAAATCAATAGCTAATTCAAATGTTGTTAAATCCACATGATTGACAAAAATCTTCTTAGGTTTGTGATATATTTGAATAATACAGGAAATTCTGCTTGTGAAGTATTATTAGGATTTTGACACTGAAGATATGAAGTGAAACACATAGACACATACTGGTTTGAAAAAGTCTCTAACTAAGAGATACTTCTCTAGAATTCACTGACATCGTGCTTATCAGCGTTAACAAAGTTCAAAACATGGTAACAGATTTAAACTATCTTACATATGCTAAAACTATAAACCTTGACTAACGAACAGAACAGTGGTATTTATAAATCTGGTCAATAAAAACCTTATCACAATTGTTTAAAAATGAACGGTGATTCGTTGAGATCGTGAATCAAACAAAGTTGGACCACTATTACAAAGTTGGAAGGTTTGAATAGCCGTTTCGTTGTAGTATCGGACTCATCAACATTGTGCACCCACGACGCCCGCATGTGGGGATCAAATCACGAACCTTCACCGCCACATCATTAAAGAAATACTTTTGGTTGAATAAATATTATTACAATTCTGGAAGTTACTGTGAAGTATGATGCGTTTAAATGTTTTAAATATCGGAGAAAAAGGAATGAATATTCAAAATGCTTATTATTTGATTGCCGCAAATTAATATGCCAAATCGTATAGTGCATTTAATGATAAAATGGAGATATATTTCATGTATCGCAATGAGTAACGGGTTATTTACACTGAAGAAATAACTCATATTAAGTAGAAAAATGTCAAAAATTCTAATTTCTACTAAATGTATTTTAAATTATTAAGTCGAACTCTATTATTGATATTTATACAATTCATTTTCAGTTTCACCTTTTAGAATAATAAACAGTTTTTAAAGCGAGCCTTTTTGTATATTCAAAGTATAGAAGAAATAAAGAAATGTATATTTCTGTATTCACTAGGTAGCGAAATGTTGATTTTTCGCTGTAGTTATCTGAAACTAAGCAAATCTTAGCTTTTTTTAAAAACATGCCTTACATATATATATATATATATATATATATATATATATATATATATATACATTCAGCAATTCTAGAGACACAAACTATTTCTTTTTATAGCGGTACAGGCAAGATGATTGTTCATGTGCATAGTGTTGAGATTTCTATATATAACACATCGCGCAAAGAATTTACCTATTATAGTGTTACATCATTTATCCAGGTAAACAAAAGTTGGGTAAAAATGAATTTTTGAAAGATCGAAAATAATCCACACATAAATCTGGAATTTTGCATACACTGCAAATACAACATATAGAAAACATACTCAACTAATATTCATGTAAACATATACCAAAATATCCGAGATTTTAGATAGTTTGTCTGCAAAATATGTGTTGAAAAAGACTAGATAACATAGCCATAACAGTTTTGAAAGTTGGCATAAAATTAACCAGGAAGCAAAGAAATTTTTTCGCTCAAAAATGTCAAAGAATATTTCAGTAACAGATGATGAAATAAAAAAAAACTCTAAGGGGATTTTATTAACTCACTATATTTTCAGATCCTGTCTACTGAACCACCTGCCTCGACGATCTGTCTAGGTAACCTACTTTACTATCGTAACAATCCAGTTCCCAGTTTTGCGCGAATAAATATAACAGTTGGTGTAGGCTACAGAAGTACAACTTGTCATAAAGCTCTTTATTTTTAAGAGGCATGACAAGTTATCTATGCTATGCAAACAATGATAGTTTTTTTTAAATGTATTTTTCGCTTTCATACTTTGTACTAAAAAGAAGCTTTTTCAGTAGTTCACATTTTTTTGTTACGATTTCCATACATTTAGAGTCTATTGTATTGTTACCTATGAAAGTTATTGATTGATTATTTACATCGAAACCTTTTATGATCAAATATGCAGATCATCAAAACTATGAATACAATTTATAATGTACTACAAACTCTATTA